AATGAAAGCATGTTTGAAAAATGTCAAACATTGTTATAAAGCGAGTCATCCTTACGCTTGCATTGCATCATTATTACATAAATATATATACACATATATATAGAAACGCTTACTTGTTTTCTTGATGTGCAGAAAAATATATGCACATATAATGTATTAACCTCTAATTTTATTGGATAGTTAGAAACAAAAATTATATTTTTATATCTAACTATGAAAATTAAATAATTCGTGAATAAATTCTTTTCAGACTAATGAAGAGGTGAACAATCCTCGATATATATATATACACACGCTTTTGAATTGTGTGTGGACAAGTGATCGAATATTAGTTTTATTTGTTTCTGGGTCCTAAACTCTTGGTCGACATTATATATAACTATATATACATTAATTTTTAGTTATTTTTAGTCATGATTATGTGCAAATATTAAGACATGATTATGTACTAAAGCAACCATATGCTTATAATTTGAGTGGTCATGATTGGTTGAACAAGTGCACCACACTATCAAATGATAAAGAAGTGGAAAATTTTTCCTTAAAATCACTAAATTTTAGAAGTCAGGAATTTTCTTCAATCATTTTTCCTTATTAAGACAAAGACAAAATAACTCAAAAAAGAGTGTGAATGCCTTGAAATGATCACAAATAAAACTGACGGTCCAAAAATGGCGGCAGGTAATATTCATATATTCACACCATGAGGGAGAGAGTAAAGCTTTTAAATTCAAACTTAGTTGAATTTCCACTAACTCACTCTCTTAATTTGGATCACAGCTGAAGTCTTTCAAAAAGTACTAGTGTTTCATAAATATATATATATATATATATATATATATATATATATGAATCTTTTACGCGTTTTGATATGGTCAATCACTTGTTGAAGGTCTAAGCTGTCATAGTTTTGCTCAGTCATGATGACCGAGTTATTTTATAACAATAACAACTTTAAAAAAATCATAAAATTATTGGTTAAAATGAAGCACCTTCTAATTAAGTCATGAAAAGACCTTCTCCAATATGTTCTCCCTTTTTTAGTTTAGTATGTAATTACGATTATATATATAAATGATCCATCAAATCAACACATTTAACATGGTAAACATTGACCGCGTCATGAGAAATTAAGGAAAGAAAACGAGATGAGAAATTAAGGAAAGAAAACGAGATGATACTATAACTTATTCTATCACAATACATTCCAGAAGTACAAACACTTTGTTAGAAGACTTCAGCCGAAATTTTCTACCATTACTTATTCTACCACAATGTATCTAACGAATGTAAAGACTTCGATAGTAGATGTCAACCGAGTCATCTACTTAAATATTATTATTTTTAGTAGAAACTAAAACCGAAATTTTATCATTGACTTTGGTACTTTGTTTTCTACTAATTTTGATTTAAGTTTGTCCATGCAAAGGCTTTGTCAGAATAATTTAGCCGAAGTCTTCTGCCATTACGTATTCAACCACAATGCATGCCACCAACGTAGAGGCTTCGTTAGAAAACATCAACCATGTCCTTCACTTAAATATTATTATTATTAGTAGAAACTAAAACCGTAGAGTTCATCGTTGGCTTGGGTACCTTATTTTCTCCTAATTTCGATTTAAATTTGACAATACCCACGATACCTTGTTAATTTGGCCTATAGGTGCCCAAATCAAGATATAGTTTTCCAAGTCAATTAATGTGTACAAAAAGTTCAAAGTCATACGACATTTATGAGTAACGCCATAAATGGCCTTATAAAAACAAACAAATTATGAAGTAATAGGAGAAAAATTGAAGAACGGGTTTCAGATTTGCTGAGAAACAACGAAACAGCAAAAACTACCAAGGGAGGAAAGCAGTACAGGAGTGACTCACATGTCATGTCATCGTCAAGGCAACTGCTCCAAGACTGCATTCACAAGGCACCGCTGACGGGAAAGAAACCCCAAACCCCGCATAAGAGGTGGGAACAACAAAACCCACATAGCACACAGATCGGAGATCTAGTCGAAAATTTCAAAGTGACCTTGATCCATCAAAATATTTATTAAGTTTCACTTTGACCTGGATCCAAGATTAATTCATAACAAAATTGTAAGAGTTGTGATATTTTGGCCAATTATTCTAATTTATTTATTGAGTCGAAGTGATCAATGACTTTCAATGTCCGTGTCCTACCCGTGTTTGGGTCCAACTTCAAGCTATCAAAGCCTACATTGTTTTGATTGTTCTGCCTTTAAATCATTTTTCTTTTTCTAAAATATAGATCTTTTTATTTATTTATTTTTTTTTTTCTTAGAGCACATGTATGTGTATCGGCCCTCCAACACTTGCACCATTCAAGTTAGGAGTGTAATTCGAAAACGAGTTCTAAAGGACTTACTTCTCGGATCCCTACTAACGCAATGAGGCTCCTAGAAGCTTTATTAATTTGTCTTGGGAGAATAGATTTATTTGATTTTGGTAATCAATGTCAATCTCTATATTCTATTTGTAAACAATATACATCATCCTTCAACACACACGTACACGCAGTAGCAGCTGCATTGTTTGTTTATATGGATTTAGTTTTTATATGCCATAAAACACTGAAAAGGGAAAAGAGGTAATTTTTTTAATTAAGCAATTAAAGCTATTTGATTATTTCCCCAAAAACAAGTAGCTAATTGATCAAGTTTGGACGCGCTTTTAATTTTATAAGTATTGAATATATATATATGGATATTCAACTTGTTTTGTTTAATTAATTATTCTGAGTCTAAAGTTGAAAATTTCTTACTCTTTTTAAACGAACGAGTCTCACACTGGACCACCACTTTAAATTTGGTCCTAATTAATTAGAAAACTAAACATGATTAGCTACATGTTAATATAAAATATGAGCAATTAAAAGTTAAGCAAACTATTTTTTGTTTAGAATATGATAAATACGAATACATGTGTGACATTCGGTCTTGCCAAAAGAATTCTAAATACATTACTTAAATATTATTGACCTAACGGTCACTTCGAATTTGAGAACAATTATTTTGTAAAAATGCTTCAATTGGGAGAAAAAAGTTCTATATATACAGCCAAACAGGCCTTAAATATCCTATATAGAAAGCTACATGAATTTTCATCATACGCACATGCATACGTATATATGTGTGTATATAATATATATGTACTTTGACGCCAATTTTTGTGAGTTTATAGGGTTGGACCCATGTCATTGTTACTCATAATTTACGGTTTTGGCTTACAAGAAAAGGTGTCTTTGTAATCCTTAGAAAGGAAAGGCAATGGAATACATATACCATTCACTAATCAATGACATGGATATTATAAACTATATATCACTTTATGTACACCATATAAAGACTTGAATAGAAAACTTTGTTCTTGGGATCAGTTTATAAATTAGTGCAATATCATGTATTGTGTGTGTGTGTGTATATGTATATATATATATATAAAGTTTGGTGATAAACAATTCAACTCAATAAAGTTATGTCTCCATTATTTGGATGTAATTATTTTTCATCTAAGGCCATAATATCAGTTAATTAATGACATGTAATCATATTTTTTTCTCTTAAAATTATCCTCAAATGTGATAAACTTGAATGCCAATGTCTCATGGAATTAGGCACTAAAAATTTAGAAAATAGAATCACAAGAAAAATAAAATAATGCAAATGATTGAGATGTTTTGTTATTCATTAATTTTTAGTTTTAGCTTAACCAAATGCACAAGACATTTATTATATATTTTAATTAGAATTATTAGGTACTTATTTTATAATACGCAACAAACCACTTATTAATTACTATCTAAAACCCCTTTGTTTTTGTTTATTATTATTATTTCTTTCTGTAATTTGTTTAACCAATTGATATGCTGTCAACTTCTACAGAAAAAATATACACACACACACACATATATATAGATACATACATACACACATATATACACCTTTACGTGTGTGTCTTTTAAATAGAATTTTCCCACACGGTTGGAGCCATGGAGGTTTGGCATCTTCCATATATCCGGGGCTAATTTAGTCGATTTTATTTTATTTTTAATGTAATCTATTTTAAATAAAACTAAGTTCAGCATCTAATGATTAGTAGACATCTTTGCCCTTATTAAATTTTTTTTTATTCGATAATTGACCTTATTAAATTTTCGATCAATGAAGTTTAAAACTATATTTGATATATTGGGAACTATAAAAAAATGCGACATCATTATAGTCAGGTGCAGTCAACTTTAATACCTCACATTTTATAATCCCCACATGCCAAATTTATAATGCCAAATTTTGTATTGGAATGATTAATTTATATGAGTTGTTGCACAGTAAAATAAATAAATTAATTAATAAGAAAAATATATTACCATGACTGGTGAAAAACTTTGTATTCATACACATATTACTCATTTTTCAAACTCAAGCAATATTTTCTTGAAATGCATCATTTTCTGTCCTTTCATCCTTCTTTACAAAATTATTTTCAAACCAACATATCAACAAATAATTCTTTGGAACTAAAAGAGATTTCACACTTTAATTGGTTTGGTTCGAGTTAGCTAGGGTAGTGAATATCTTATAGTAGTCGTGAAATTGACATAAAATGTACCTAAAATTATATGAAGTTTACTTTTAAGTTAATTGGTTTAATATACTTTGACTTTTTAAATATTCTTGGCAAAGGTTAATATGTGTTACCACTTGACATAAAATGTACGTAAAATTATATGAAGTTTACTTTTAAGGTAATTGGTTTAATATATTTTAACTTTTTAAATATTCGTGGCAAAGATTAATCTGTGTTACCACGACGACTTTATATTAATTACACAATAATTTTAAAGTTACTTAACAACTATCTTATATCACTTATACAATAACTTTCTATAACATACTGTGTATTGCGTAAACGAGATAATAACCGATATATTGTGATACATAAACGGTACGTAAAAAAAGAAGAAAATAATTAGAAGTGCATTTAACCAAATTATTGACTTTTATTCACAGTAATAATTAATTAACAACCAAATTACAAACAAGCTCATGACAAGAAATCTCAAAAACATATGAACCTAAATATTCAAGATCCTTCGTAAAAAGAAGAATGCTAAGTGCAATCACGACCTCCTCTTCCTCACAACTGAGCACACACATCGGACATTAAATTTGTGGCTACCACAAGATTCAACGACTTTGTTTGCACAGTCGCAACTGCATTTAACACGAATCTCATAGAAAAACCTATCTCGGGTACTGGATGAGGGGAGGTTCAACAGTTATATTCCAATCACTATCACAATTAATCAACAAATCCAAATTGGTGAAGTCATCATCATCCCAGAAACATCCCATGTTATTCACATTGGTGTTATCCAAGTCCAAAATGCTGAAGTCAAAATTTGGGAAGCCCAATTCCTCAAAAATGTTGGATGAACCACCATAAGAATAAGAGGAAGAAGAAGATGATGATGTTGATGATGATGATGAAGGGGCACAAGGGACCAGAATCTCATGGGCTTCAATCAATGGGACTTCATCTGTGCAAAACCCATTATTGATCATCACTTCCTCCATTGATAAGTCTAACATTGAAGCTTCCATGCTTTTCTCTTCCTCTTTTGTCTCAGTATTGCTCAGACCCAATTCAGTCATTTCACAAGCTAGAGAAATTTGTTCTTGTTCTTGTTCTTGTTCTTGATGATGTTCTAGTACTTGTTGAGGTTGTGGTTGTTCTTGGGACTGATGATTAGTTGGATCAATAGGCAGTGGCTTGTGAGTGAGCGGATCAATCCCCATCTTCCTTAGCTTTTTCTTGATGTGGGTGTTCCAGTGGTTCTTGATCTCATTATCAGTTCTTCCAGGGAGATGAGAAGCAATCTTGGACCATCTGCAACACATTTCCAAGGAAAAAAATTTGTAAAGATTATCGGTTTTTTGTGCAACTCCAATAAATTATTTTCAACAATCGATTTTTCTTACCTACTGATGTGGTAAGTTAAAAAAAACCGAAACTTTTATCATTTTCTAAATGCCAATGTTTATTATAATGGTATGATGGAAATTAAATATTTTTTCCTGAACAAAATCACCCTTGACCTGGTTTCAAAAGAAATCGTTCTTATAAGTAAATAATTGCTAATTAAAAAGGTAGCTAATGCATAGGACTGCTGTCATTATAGAGTCAGATGTCACATATCTTATCTGGAAGGTTATTTTTTATTTTGGACGGGTGATCTCCAAATTACAACACAGTAACCAAGTCCCATTCTCAAATAAATAATTATTATTGACAAATGCAAGAACTGCATTAATATATATATATATATATATAATGAGAAAAACAAGGAATGGGAGGCTGAATTAGGAATCATTCCATTTGCAGCTGTTGTCGGCCACTTTGGACATGCAATAAAAGTCATTCTTTCTTTTGGTACTTATTTTCAGACACCCATAAAGATGAATGATCTAGCAAGTGATCATAATGCAGCAGTAATGCTCAAATCTAAGCAAAAGCAAAAGGAAATGATTGAAACACACACACACACACCTGTTGCCAAGTTGAGCATGAAGATCAATAACCATCTTCTCTTCATACTCTGATAACAAACCCCTCTTCAAGTCTGGTCTAAGATAGTTTGTCCATCTCAGTCTGCAACTCTTACCACACCTTAGTAGCCCTGCATTAATGTCACACAATCATCACCATAGCCAATAAAATAAATGATAGTTTATATTGTTTTCCTCTGCATTAATACCTATAAATTTCATTATGACACTAGTTTTCATTAAATTATTAAAAGTAATTAATTAACAAACATTTTCATTTTTTAAAAGGAAAGCAAAAACCAGCAAGCTTTAATTAATTACTATCCATGCACTTTAAAAAAAAAAACAATAATAATAAAACCCAATTGGGAGATGAAAATTCACAATAATTAAATTTTGGTAATTAATGGGAAATTTAGAATTATGAGAGAGACCTGCAAGTTTAGGAACAGCTCTCCAACAGCATTGGCCATTGGTGAGGATAAAATTGACAAGCTTCTTGTCCTCTTCAGATGTCCATGGTCCCTTCTTCAACCCAACTTTGTCACAGCATGGCTGCCTCCCCATCTTTCACACCAAACTTGTGTGTGTGTTTTTGTGTGTGTGTGTGTGTGTGAGAGAGAGAGAGAGAGAGAGAGAGAGATTGCTCTGAGAGAGAAAAATACGCAAATAACTTGGTAGACTTGAAACATCACGAACTTGTCATGGATATATATAAATCAACAATGTGTATAGATGGACATGGGGCTAGCTAGTGATTCAATTTTTATTTTATTTATTTATTTTAATGTTCTACTATTACACGTGTTACGTTGAAATGGGCAGTGTGTCCCACACTTGCTACGTCACCTTCAGAAAGCGCCACCTCATCTAATCCCATGACTTGAGCTTGAAGCATGAGAAAAATTGAGATGGTCCCACAGTAACAAATCAACATGGGAAAAAGTAAAAGTAAAACTCACCCAATTTCTAAAAATCATTTTAAAATACATAAATACAGTAGAATTACTGTATTCATACTCCTAAGGGTAATTCCCACACACCCATCACTTGTATAGTTGTATATAATAATAAATAAATAAATAATCGATCAACTTTTAGACATTACAACCACTTTAGTAAGGAATTCGGATTTATCGGAGGACGACTATTAGGAGTGGTAAATTATAACACGATACGAGTTAAAAAGGTTTGAATTTAGCATAAATAAGTTTGAATCATAAAAGAGTCGACACAATTAACCCGTTTACTTAATTGTGTCAGGTTAGGATTGAGAAGTTCAACCCGTGTAACCCGATTATGACCCATTTAACTCAACATGTTATAATCGTGAATATGACTTATGCAATATATTACCTGTTTAAATCCAATTACTATGAATAGTTAAGTCATTTTAACATAAATCTTGTCTATGCGTTATATATTTTTTTTTTCTTTTGAATATTTAAGTTAATTATGACAATTTTTTCTAATATTTAGTATTTGATTAAATATTAAATGTCTCATTTTGATAAATATGTTATTAAACGGGTTAATACGTTTACCTGTTTAATAAACGGGTCGGATTAGTGTTGAAAATTCTTGACACGATTATTAAATGGGTTAGATTTGAATTTACCTATTTAATATAATATACTTATATCAACACGACAATAACACGACCCACGAGCACGAATTGTCACCCTTAACGGCTATGCATCAAAACGGTGTCATTTTGATGCACAGTGTGTAACCCAATAAAAATTGTGCAAAGCTCCAACACGGCGGGACTTCTTGGCTGGGCACAAGAGTCGGACATCAATACTTTGAGACACTTATATGTGGTAGGTGCTCTGAAATTTGGAGATTATATACATTCTCCAAAATTTGAGTTTTGAGTCTTAAATTAGGGTTACAAAACTGTGTTTGGTTGTTATTGTTTTAAAATTACTAGTTTGGGTTGATGTTTAATGTGAATATGATTTGATTTTTTTTTTGGGCAATGTGAATATGATCAATCATCCATAATTTGAAAGAGATGAGATTTGCATTGATGAAAAGATTGAACATTAACTATCTGATATAGTTGTTTTTAGATTTGTTCTATATGTGGTAATTCTTTAATTATGACTTTAAATATGAAAAGTGAGATTAATTAACAATATTAGCGATTAAGTGTTGCCAATAAGAATATATATAAGTGATATGGAGGTAGATTGTGCAATTTACTGGTTATTGTTGAAGTTGAGAAAGGTAATATATGGCAATTTATGTGGGTCTATTTGTAGGTTATTTGATAACTTCTTCCATTAGCTAGCATTACGTAGAAGTTAAACTAATTTTGGATCATGCTGAAAATGAATTTGGACAGTGTGGTCACTAGTTAAGCTTGTTCTTAAGAAATCTTAGATTCAAGTGTTATTTGATTATACTTAGCTATTTCAAGATGATCTATGCTGCTAGTTAATATACTTTGATGAATCAAGCATTGTTAATGTTGCTTGTGACATGCATAGTCTTATTATCTTTGAGGGTTTTGTATATATTATTATTTATTAGTACCTGGGGTTTTTATTTTATTTTTTTCAATTAACTTATATTTATTTATTTAAAAAAGTTATTTTTATATCTTTTAACCCAATCCGAAAATCTAATGGTGAAGACTCTCATCACCTCATGCCTTAAAGGTAGAGAGTTCGAATCCCTTGAGATCACTATTAGAAATTTTTTCCCGTAATTGTCCCGTATATAAAATGAGGAGACTTCATGTGCTCGGTAGTAGATTATGAAGTGTTTTAAAAAACCTGATATTTTATATGTTCACAAAAAAAAAAACAAAAAAAAAAAAAAAATCAATAGTCTTGTAAGCCAATTTAACCAAGGGCTGGGCTTATGAAAGAAATCCAAGATCTGCTTGAAACCTGGGCCAGACTCTATTTGTAGCAACTGTGTGGTTGTTTGATAAAACTTAAAATTATATACCGAAAATTTTAAGAAATTGAATTTTAAATGCTGAAGATTATAATTGACAATTAAAAAATAAATATTTTCTTGATATCATTTTAAATATTCACCCTTTAGCGATAAGTGATATTCGTGTCACTTAAAATTTTATCTAATTTTAAGTTGCGATTAGTATTTTTAATTTTAGTGATATTTATCAAATGCACTTAATTGAATAAGCACATAATCAGTTCATAATTAAACATTGAATTTAGTTATCAAACAACATTAAGACTTTCGAAAATGTATATTTAATTGTTTATAAGCAAGTGTAGTGTTGTCCGAATGGTTGGATTGTTCCCTGTGTTGAGAAGCCTGTGTTTGAGCCTTGCACCCTCCCCTCTCCTCTAACCACCAACATTCTTGCCATGAAATTTTTTTTTGAAAAAAAAAAAATTGTTTATGAATAGGGTTTTGAATCTTGGATTGAGCTGTCCACATAGTGCTACTGCTGGGTTTGTAAACTAATTGGGCCAAGGCTAGCAATATTGGGGGCCCTAGTTTAGTGGTCTTGACCAGTTAGACTGGGCTGGACCAGCAACTGTACATGGGCCCTTTTATCAATTGAGCCTTGATCTCATTTTCAGTAAACATTATAGATAATAACAGTGATAACAAAAAATAAATAAATAACCCTATTCAAAGATGAATTGAAGAATATAAAGATTATGATTAAGCAATTTATATGTTTTGATAAATATAAGATTTAATTGTGGATCTGGATTATATATTTCAGTCTTTCAAGCCATACATATATATACATACAACCATTTATTTTTAGGTGGAGTTCACGTGATGTCATCTTCACGTAGAGTTCACATGATGTCATCGCTTTAATATCAATCCGTTTTCTATAATTGCATTTGATTAGTCAGCTAAATATTTTCATTTTTAGTCTTTCAAGCCATACATAAACCCATACAACTATCTATCATTAGGTGGAGTTCACGTGATGTCATCTTCACGTGGAGTTCATATAATGTCATCTCTTTAATACGGATCGATTTTCTTTAATTTGCATTTGATTAGCCGATCAAATATTTTCATTAACCGAAGTAAAGAGTAAATCAACCAACTTCCGAACTTGATTCTGTTTTGATGAGTTAGTCAAATTTCGAATTTGTTGTTGCAGCAATTGTTTCAATGGCTTATTAAAAGGCTGCTTAACAAAGTCAAGGAATGTGTAGTTGGGGAAAGAAACTTTTTAACTAGTGTTTAACCTTTGATAAGTGGCAAGAACAATAAGCAACATTTGTAAAAAAAATAAAATAAAAATAATAATATATAAAAAATCGAAAAGGAAATAAACAACCCAGATCTCTGAATGTAATGGATGATTTTATATCAATGTTAGCCAGGTTTAAATATAAAAAATTAAAAAAAAAATTAAATCTAAATAATAATAAAAACTTAATTAAACCCAACCAATTTGACTAGAGAAAGGGACTAAACTATGCAGTTTGTTCATATTTTTTATGGAAATTTCAGAACCAGTGTAATAAAAAACCTATGTAATATTTACCCAAAAAAAAACCTATGTAATAAAAGATGTAATTATTTGTAAGGAATTACTGTGGAGTACATTTTATTTAAGTGTTACATATTACAACGTCAAACTTTTTCGATTACTTTCAATTAGAGATTAGGAGACATTTTCAATTGTCTTTTATATTGCTATTGAAATTATCAATCCTCTGAATTTATGAAATTAAATTATTACTATTTTCACGAATAATGTAATAATCTCGAATTAATTTTTTTTTGATAATTTTAATTAAAAAATGTCTAATAAGAATTTTTATATAATAATCAATAAGATGAAGTCTTAGAGTGTTTTAACTTATGTTTGACACTTGAAAATGGTTTTAAAAACCGATAAAAAGGGAAAAGTGAGGAAGAAAAGAAAATTTAAAAAGGGAAAAGAAAAGAAAACAAATAGCAAAAGAAAACAAAAGGAAAAAAAAAAAAAAAACATACACACACACGATGCTAGACTGGATTTTGCCTGCCGCGTGTAGGGCCTACAAATGGCCATGTTCCACTAATTTTTAAGGATCTTGCTAGATTTGATTTTCCCTGCCACGTGTAGGGCCCTTGAATGACCAAGTCCCACAAGAATTTAATGATCATGCTAAATATCATTTTTTCCTGCCACGTGTAGGGTCCACAATTTGCCACGTCCCACTAGCTCTTGAAACTTTCACTCGCACTGTATAATTTCCCTACCAAATGACTGCGGTTACCAGAAAACGGACACTACCGGGAAAAAGATTCCACTTTCAGTCGGCGAAGTTTCCTTTTCTCTCACTTCTCTCTGTCTTCTTGCTATTTTGCTTTCTGGGTATCAAATAGAACCAACATTTCTTCAATCTTCTGTTTGGTTTCATCGAAATTCTTACTTTCTTGGAAATGGATATGTGGAATTCTTTCCTAAATTGGCTTCGGAGGTAACTTTCTCACCCCTAATATCCGAGTTTTGCATTGATTTCCTATAATAACTCATACTCCTGAGTTTTGTTTCCCATGATTTTCTTGGATTCGTGCATAGATTACGATATATAGACAGAGAATCAACCTGGGTTCATGTTTGTGCTGATGATTAAAGCTCTCAGTTCAATAAATCCATCTATTATCGAGAAAATAAGATAATAGTTGAAGGACTTGATTGAATTCGTGTTGTTTGGGTTGTTGGAAAATGGATAAAACGTATAAATTGCGCTAAGAATTTATACCACTTTGCTTCGTTAATTTGTTTTTCTTTTTGGGTTTTCTTGAAATGGATGAAAGAAAATGACAGATTTCTGATTTCTTTCTGGTTATGCAATTCAGTAGGCAGCCAAACAGAACTTTGTGGGAGAGGGCTTTTGGTTCTTGAAAAATGGATAAATTCAGCCGAAATTAGACAAAAACTTAGCTTAGTTAATTTGTTTTTCTTTTTGGGTTTTCTTGAACCAGATAAAAGAAAATGACAGATCGATTTCATATTTTCGTTTCTAGTTATGCTATTTTGTTGGCAACCAAACATGAATTTGTGGGGAGATGGCTCTTAGTGGCTGATAATGGTGGATTTAGTGTTGGAGGGTGAAGTCTTGAAGTACTAGTGACCCTTTTATTTCCCTTTTTGGTTGATTCCTTTACTTTTTCCTTTTTCGTTTTTAGTTTCGGCATATTTGAGTTGGAAAGTGAAGTGCCAATGATTATTTACAATACTTTGTGAGTTGGGAGATTATGTGCTTCTGTGTTGTTTGGAATTCGAATGTATTTATATCACTGATTGTAGATGCATGCAATATATTATGATGGTTAAGCTTGTTTAATTCCACGCAATTGTTGCGTCAAAATATTCTATTTGGTGCTATAAATAAGGAAAACAATGTAATGAATCAGTCCACATGAAATATTTAAGAACCATGTATGAAGGTGGAGCTGATTTCATAATAGATTTAATTTGGTGCAAATGTAATAAATGCCCATTAATTTGAAAACATGGGAAGTGTTTATAAGAGATTCATTTTTATGTATTTTCCTATTTTTATTTCTTTGATTTCAATTCAAGGGATAATGCTTTTATGTCCCCCTTTGTTTTTGCAATTAACGCGTTCTAATTTATACATGATCTGTGGTATCTGGTAACCACAATCATCAGCGCAGGGGTGTCTTTTTTTTATAATAATAATTAAATGAAGAAGAAGAGAGAATTATAGTGAGAGGGGAAAAGAGTTCCTAGTTAGAATAGGTTTTGCATTAGGTTGGACTTGAGTCCTCTTTTTTCCCTCAGTTGTGGATAAATTGCTTTCTGCCGTAGTAGGTCTTCAAAGGAAGTTACTTGTTTCAATCATGTAGACGATGTGATGTCAGTTCATGGGGTAGAAAATTGAGGATGCAGAAGTGAATTGTTGAATTAGCTTATTCTTTGGAGTGCAAGTGTCAGTTCATTGTTAGATTTCTATACTATTTGGTTTATCCGGATTGTCAAAAGAATTATCATATATTTGTTGTTGGCATATGAATTAAAGATTTAAATTATAAAGACTCTCACTGGCATTTTGTAAAGTGGTTTGTTCATTCATAAGGAGATTTTGAACTGTGCTTACTGAAGGAAAAACAAAATAAAAAAAGGAATTTTTTTGCCGTGTCCACATTTTCAGTGGTTATATTAATTAAAAAGTTAAAGATGATCACCTGACCAGGCTGACCTAGTGTGTCAATTATCATGGAAAAAGGTGTACAACTATGTTGCTCAGAAAATTTTCCACTATGTACTTGAGATGATATTTTTTTGGCCTGTGGAGATAATTTTTGTAATATTCCTTCATCGTCTTTTCTAAAACTGGTGAATCATTTCACCAAAACACATCTCCAGAATTATGGGGAATTGGGTAATGGGACCCCTATTGCTCCTGTTTAACTTTGTCGAGAAGGCCTTGCAGAATAGAGCAACTTAATAACGTTTTGGGATGTGGGAGGGTGTTTCATTCATTTTCCTTCTTTAGTTAGAATCAGTTGTTAGGAGGATAAGCAATCTAGTGTGTGGAATTATTCAGGGCTTCTAAGTTCTAATACTGCTAGGTCCTATAGGTTTCCCTCTCTTATCTCGTCATATGTTGAAGAAGGATTGTTGACTACCTCTTCAGGGACATCTATTTAGTTTCTGTTTCAGTTGCATGGTCTAGACAAGAATTGTCTTTTGGTTGATGTTCTCTAATGAAGTTTTTTTGGATGTTATATGCAATGGTATGTACATTACAGTACTTTTCCCAACGGAAGGCATTTTGAGAGCCCATGGCACATTCAAAATTGCTTCTTTTTTAGATTTTGGAAATAACAACCTGATGAAGAACCGGGCATGGACCGAGAGCTTGAATTGCACATGACTCTCACCTATGCATGGAGGAGGGGCAATGACAGATAGGTTTTAGAGTTTTCCCATACATTTTAGGAATTATAATAAATAAGAGTTAGCTTTGCAATATGTCCTTTTTAATTAGTATTAGGACTAGGTTTGCCCATAAATAAGGTATGTTGATCTGTAGCCTTGTTGAAACTGAGCAGGGCTATTTTACAGATCCAAACATAGGCTTGCTATATGTCTCACTAGAGCTCACGGCAGCCATTTTTGAATCTTCAGGTTTGCAGAAGCTATATTGGACATTAGGGTCTTTGTTTTACCTATATATACTTTGAGTTAATTACCTTTTGATGATTGAATAATATTGAGTATTGAATTGCAGAGTTCTTCTTCCCCAATTTCTTCTTCTCTCCTCTCTTCTTTCCTCTCTCTTTTTCTCACTCTCCTTCTCTCTTCTTGTTTACATCATTCACACTACCCATTCTACATTACAACCATACTCAGGCTGATCAGTGGATGCAAAATTCTATGTCTTCTTTATAAAAAATTCAGCTATTTTGTTGTTGCGTACATCTGAAATAATTAATTTGATGTTGAAAGTAATAGAAGTTTTACGGGAACACATATAGCGAACTTCTGTAATGTTGCTTTAATTGCATAAAAGATGGTCGAATAGTTGTCTTGTCTTAGTTTGTATAGATGCAATGGATGATGTTACAGTGTTAGAAATTCATGTGGTTGCTGTTGTTCTTCTTTCTATACTATTTCCCAAGTTCAATAATAACAGGATCGCTTTAATTACATTGCATTAAACCTGCTACCAATTTAAGCATCAAATAGTTTGTTAAGTGTTCAAACTGCATAGTCAAAGAAATAATAGGTTGTAGATGTGAGTCTCTTGAGCAGTTGACAACTTTCTTCTTCCTCTTTTTTCCTGTTTGGTTAGTAAAGTTGGATTTAGGAACCAAAAAAAGAGAGTAAAGATATACAATAGAAAACCCAAACCAAACATTATCTGCTTTCGGATCTTCATTATTCTCTTTTCATGTGTAGGACTCTAGGCAGGACAAGACAAAGCATGCATAAATTCATTTAAGCTTTTAGTTAGTCTATTGCTATAGTGCTGATGAAAATGCTATTTCTCGTTGTTGCATTATTTGCTTAATACAAAGAACAATATATTGACTTATTTCATTCAACTTCCTTTTGCTTCCTACCATGTCGCATACAGCTTCTTCTTCAAACAGGAAATGGAACTCTCCCTTGTAGGCCTTCAGAATGCAGGAAAAACATCTCTCGTCAATGTGATTGCCGTGAGTAAAAACGAAGTCTTCCTATCCTCCCTTTTTTTGCTTTTCATTTGGTTTTTGTGAGTGATTTTCTTTTTAAATCTTACTTTTTTTTATTTTTGGTGAATTTTCAACAGACCGGAGGCTACAGTGAGGACATGATTCCAACTGTAGGTACCTTTTATCTCTAACAAAAGTTTAATTAGGCGCTTTGCCTTTTACTAAGTAGGTGTCTTAATAGAAGCTTTTTTATACTCTGAAAACCAGGTGGGATTCAATATGCGGAAAGTTACAAAAGGAAATGTCACAATAAAGCTTTGGGATCTTGGAGGGCAACGGAGATTTCGCTCCATGTGGGAGCGCTACTGTCGGGGTGTCTCTGCTATTCTGTAATTCCTACCATCCTTTTAATTTTCCCTCCTTTGTTCATCATGTAGCTTTCTTTGGTTAATGTCTAACTATTAGAGAGCCTTTGCGTTTAAAATACAGACAAGTGCCTGTCAATGTAGATCAATAGTTTGTTATATCTGGGAAACCACGTCAAAATGATGTCATGCTTTTCTTTAGCAGCATGCTCGAGCATCTCTGTGTGATATAATGTAATAGCATTACGGCTAATAGCTATGATAGCCATGTGTGTATCCATATAAGGCCAATTAAAATTTATGGGCTATTGTTACAGCCGCTAACATAGCCTTAGTGGTGCTGCAATAGCTGTTTTCACAATCAGTACTCAATTATGCTGCCCGGGCTGTAACAAAGTGTACCTTGGAATGAACTTCAGAAAATTTCCACCACCTATCAGTGCAAAAGAAACTTGAACATCATTAAAAGCGGGCATCATAACATTACAAAATGAAAATAATCTATTTATCTTTATCATCTTTATGTTCTTTTCGTTTTCTTTTTTCCCTCTTTTTCTTCCGGCTTGGGGGTGCAGGGGTGGTAGGAGGGGAATTGACTGAATAGAAATGTCTTTTCCTTCTCATTTGATGCACTCCATCAGTAGCAGAAGCTTAGAATCATTGGCCATAACAAAGATACAAATCTCAACTCAGTATATCTGATGTGCACCGTTTCCTTACTTTGTTGTCTATTCTAATGGAGCTAGAATTGGGAAGAGGGAAAAGAGCCTCTTAAGAACCATTTGTAATCCAATGAGTTGTGAAATAGTGTATCCTCCATTTTTCTCAGTAACCAAGGAGAAGATTAGTGAACTACGTATGATATTCTATCCGGGAAGGGCTAACGGCTCCAACTGGTCTGATTTACTTTGATTGTCCTTTCAATTTGATTAACTTTCAGCCCTCTTCATGCAAACGCAGGTATGTTGTCGATGCTGCAGATCGAGACAGTGTTCCCATTACTCGTAGTGAGCTACATGACCTCTTGACAAAACCTTCACTGGCTGCAATTCCTTTGCTTGTTCTTGGTAACAAAATTGACAAGTCAGAAGCACTTTCAAAGCAAGCGCTGGTAGATCAGCTGTAAGTTTTCCATAAACCTCGCAAACAATTTTATGTCACCTTTTCATTTATGGATTATCTTTAAAAATATCTCTTGATATTCTTGTACATTAAACTATTCTTTGTGCTTCTTTCACCCTCAGAGATCTGCAAACGATCGCGGACAGAGAAGTGTGCTGCTTCATGATCTCATGCAAGGATACCATAAACATAGACGTTGTCATCGATTGGCTTATCAAACACTCTCAAACAGCAAAATGATCCAATGCTGTCACCTTATCTGTGCTGTACTCTTGTCGGGCCTTTTTTGAGAATGGATCAAGAGTGAACTTGCATGCATGCTTCACTGAAAGTTTTCAGCCTGAGAAACAAACTGATGGTTAATTCTCTTACGCCTTTCAGTTGCAGATCTCCAAACTGCGTACTTGTTTTTTGGTTGTTCTTTAATAGTTCAGGCAAGTATTCCATTCATTGTTAATCCATATACTGTTCTCTTGGTTTGAATTTTTTTTTTTTCCTTCGTATCCCGACGTTGCCATGAAGATTTGAGATGGTACTGTTGTGTAGATTTGCGGATTCTGCTTTTATTCCATATGCTTGCTACAAGGTCCATTTGAGTGAATTGGCTAAGCAAAGTATTGAATTCTGTGAATATCAGATTGCAGATTCTGCTTCTTAATATGGTTCATATATGCATGTGAGATATAAATATATATATATATATATATATATATATGGCATTTGTATTGGTAGGACAAAACATAACTTCTTGAGTGGTGTTATAGATATAACTGCTAGATTGTATAGTTTCTTCCTTCAACCAAATTAGATGATATTTCAAACTAACAGGAACTTATTCTGAAATTATTTTTAATTTTTTCGAAAAATGCCGAGATCGAGTTTATGTCTTCTGTTTGGAGTGATTGCGAAATATTTTGCCATGCAGTGGATGAGTGTGATTAAGAAGTTTGCTTGAAGCTTGAGAGAAAATGTGTGGAACTACAATATAGACTGAATTAGTTCATTATATTTTGTAATTTTAGATATAATTGTCATTAAATATAATATAGATAGACACTTTTGTATCATGAATCATTCACTGGAAACTTTGTGTGTGTGTGTGTGTGTGTGTGTGTGTGGATTCCACATGGGGTGGTCCACTCCACATGGGTTCAGGCCCAACATGGGACACAAAATCCATGAAGCCCACGAGACTAGCCTTTGGACTATGCTTAGCATTATATCCGTATATGTGTGTGTATTTATATTACGAATAAATAAACCCATCATTGAGTACAAAACTAAAATGGTCTTCAAGTATGGAGAATTTTTAAAAAGAAAAAGAATCGTAAAGTGATATATTGACGTAATAGAGAAAATGTATGATAGATGTGTGACTATAGTGAGAATGACTGTTGAGGAAATATGTAGATTTTAGTGAGTTCGGTTGCATCGAATTGGAATTTTTGAAATTTGAGAAAATTTTGGTTAGAATTTTTTAGTTATTTTTAAAAAAAAAAATTTTTTACCAATTTCAATTTCAATACTCAAATTTCATACAACTGAAAACACACTTTAAACTTACATCAAATGTCAACATTAAGAAGAGATTTCATGTTGTATATTATTTTTTGATGATATTGTTTTAATTGAAAACTAGAGAAGAATCAAAGTGTTCATGTAGGTTTGGAGGGAAACTTTAGAATAAAAGGATTGAAAATAAGAGCAAAATTGAATATATGAAATCTAGAAACATAAATAGGAGTACAATGAAAATTAAAGATCAAGTACCAAAAAAAATAAAAAATAAAATAAAATAAAATAAAATAAAAAAATGAACATTTCGAATTATTGAAAATGAAAAGTAAATTGAAGATAATGGTATATGTTTGAATCATTACTTAAATGAAAAAAATGCATATAATATTAGGAGTGTTCAAATAATTCGTCAATTCGCTAAACCGAACCGATTTGTGCGATTCGGTTTGGTTTTCTACTGTCGTGGTTCGGTGACGGATTGAAAAATAAGTAATCCGTAGTGACCGGTTTATTTAACGGATTAGGTGCTGAAAAAACTGAACTGATCTGTAGACCTAATATACATATATTATGTGACATATATAGTATACAGAACGTGCATAATACATTATTGATGTTTTTTTTTTTCTTTAATCATTAAGTTTTCAAAAGTTTTATTGTTTTACGAACCCAGAGATCAGCTTCAAAAACTGTAATATATAAGCTCAAAAGTTTTTCATTATTTTCTTTTATGAATTTTTGTTCTTTTTAAGGGAAAAAAAAATATTCTTGATTGCTCCATCTCGTATTTTAGTTTCAGTTCTACCTTGTCATTTTCATAGTCCATTTATTAATATATATAGTCTTTAGAAATTCATGCATGACTCAGACAACAATCACTATTTCAAAGCAGAATTAACAATAAAAGATTCTCTTTTTCCCTTTAAATTCATACATGACTCAGACGAAAATATTATTTTGCCTCTAATTTCATTTTTCTTAATTGTGTTCTGTCAAGCTCAATTTGTCGGAACTGAGCCGAACCAATCCGTTATCTCACGGATCGGTTTGGTTTTGATTAAGAGTCCCTACGGATTAGTTCGATTTCAGATTTATTCAATCTGTAAAGACCAAATTGGTTTAAATTTTATTCAAAATCGAACCGATTCGATCCATAATCAACCCTATCTAACATAGTATGTAAACAATGTATTTTTTCTAAGATTGAAATTAAAGTTTTATTAAATAGATTTTGACCTAGCTAATCGTTTTTTACGAGTGAATGTATTAAAAATAAAAATATTTAAATTAAATGATAGGTAGCAAGATAAGACACACACCATCTTTGTTGATTCTTTCTTTTCTTTTCTTTTTCTTTTTTGTTTTTTCCCAATTGTACCGACCAAAAGAAAAATAAATTAAAGATTTTAGTATTGCCAACGTGTCGCCAAACCATTAACCAAGGTAGATAGAATTCATTGCATTCAATAAAAAATTATATATATATATATATATATATATATAATATCCCATGTTGTTGGATATCTGTGGGATCTAATTTGATAATGACTTCAATACTCTATCATTTGTCACTGGTGTTGAACGATCCCAACGGCTATTTTTTTTTTCTCCTAAAATATTCTCTCATATTTTCTTCTTTCAAATAAAGACTAATAATATAGAAGGTGTTAGGAGGAAGAGATAAAAAAACAACCAACCTTTTATTATCATTGTTTTGCAATTATGCTTCAACCAAACCAATTATATATATAGAAGGTGTTAGGAGGAAGAGATAAAAAAACAACCAACCTTTTATTATCATTGTTTTGCAATAATACTTCAACCAAACCGATAACAATGGTAATAAAAGGTTGGTTATATATATAGATATATAGCACAATCAAAACACCAACAATCACATGCTGCAATAAAAGTGGAAACCACTCGTGGTTGTTGCCTGCTGGTGTTTCGGTTGTGTGGCATGTAACACTGTTCTTTCAAATTTGAGTCAATTAAATCAATCTGGATTCCGGATTCCCACATATAGATAATTCCTACTTACTTTAAGATAATGCTTAACTACCACTAGTGAGGAAGATAAAACTATTTATTTTTATGTAGTCCAATAACAAACTAACACATCACCTTTAATAATAAAATACTTCACACATTTTTTTGCTTTCTCGGATCAGTCATTGAATAAATCGTATATATAGTGTTTTTAGATATGAATTATTTTATTTTTTAAATATGATGTGTTATTTTATTATTGGACCATATAGGGGTGAGTAGTTTCATCCTACTCACCAGTGAGTAGCTAACATTCTTTTTTACTTTATATAAGTAAAGATTGATGTGATTGACGTCAATCTCCACTCACATAAAACAATTCAATTATCACGTATTATTTTCCTTCAATATTTTACTGATGCATAAAAGATAAAATTGATCTTATGTTAGTAGTTAAGACCCATCCTACATTCATTTTGTAAATATTATTTGCTTTGTTCCCTCTTGTTTTACGCATGTAGATTATTTTGCGTATTCTTTGCGTTCACGATATTCAAAACACGTCTACTTGCAGGACGGACCCATGTGAGGCTCAGTGGGGTCACTTACCCCCACTAAAATTTTTTTTTTTTTATTTTTTATTTCTACTTTTAAAATCTTAGGTAATTATATAAATGCCCCTATTATTTTATCATCCCCGCTAAAATTTTTAAAAATTCTATTTTTACCTAGAAATCTTGAGTAATTATGTAAATGCCCCCATAATTTTATCCTTTGCCCCATTGATTTTTTTTTTCCTCTCACTCACGCCCTCATTATTGTTTAAAATCGCTCCCACTAAAACAAATTTCTAAATCCGTCAGTGTCTGCATGGATAGGAATTATTTACACGCATTCAGATAGGAGGCAGCATCCACTTATAAGTGTCAGCAGGTTCTTTCTGAAATGTAAAATTAACAATTGACTTATAGAATTAACTTGCAACAAAAATATTTGAAAATTGCCAAATTTCAGTAAAAAAGTTCATAAAATAGACATCTTTGATTGGTGTGGGTAATAACTTCGAAAATTGAAAATAAATGGAAGAATCAATTATTCTTAAAAGCTGCCATTTTAAGGGCTCTCATCATGGGATGCAAGCTATATCAAAGCTGTAAGGAAAATTTATAATTATGTGAGATATATATATATATATATATATATATATATATATATAAAGCTGTGTATGGTACTGCTATCCATCACAGATCTGGTTTCTCATGGTCTTGGTCAGCAAACAAGACAAAGCCACCTTAACCAACATTTAATACTCAACTATGAAAGAGTTGACAACAAAGTTGTATAGTACATAAATTTCCCCAATATAATGATATACATAATGATGGACCATGAACCTTACCTAACACAACAATGTCAATACTGTTAGTAGGTAACATCATGTATGTTATGTATGTACCATCAAGAGAGAGAGAGAAGTTGGCTTGAAGTGATGAAGAAGAGACACATAACAACTTATTAAGACCACATCTGAAAGCCAATTAAAACATCTCAGTTTCAACAACCAATGTTAAAATTGGAAGCAAAAGAGCAAAAGTATAAAAGAATTGTATAGGGCCATCCATTTGAGAGGAGGACATCTCCCCCAAGTCCAAATTAATACTAGTTTAACATTTCAATTAAGAATGCCAAAGAAAAGTTGTTGCTATGTAAAATAGAGAAAGTTTACGATATTTCGGATACTTACACGTGATATCCTCATTCTATAGATGGTTGTTGAAATTTTTATTTTCTCTGGATACACGAGAAATGAAGAGTTTTTAAGAAAAAATATGACTGTCTATTGACGGGGATACCATATAGTAAATATCCTTGGGGTATTATAGAAGTAGGTATTCGCCTGGTGTACCGTGCACTAAGAGGTAATAAGAGTTTTCAAGAAAAAATATGATTGTCTATTGACGGGGGATACCACATAGTAAATATCCTTGGAGTATTGTAGAAGTAGGTTTTCGCCTGGTGCACTGTACACTAAGCTAATCAAAGTCATGCGTATACAACACTTGCCGGCGCATGTACTATATGCACGGCTTTAATTAGCCTGGTGCATGATGCACCAAGCACATTGAATATATTTTTGGTATTGTAGACTTTCTTGTAAGCTAAAAACACAAAAGAAAAAGAAAGGAAATGTATTTAAAAAAAAGGAAAAAAGAATAAAGAGTGTAGCTTTAAAGTTAAACATTACAAATATATAACACTTGTTTGTTTTAATTTTTAATTGAATTTTCACAGAATAGTTTTTATAATGGGAAAATGATAAATGCACTCCACTATTTTTAAATGCGTACTTTTTTATTTAATTTTTTTAAAACTAAATGACCTAAATGCCCCTTATACTTGGATTCTCATGAATTTAATTAAAAAGATAATAATGACATTTAACATTAAAAGTTGAGTGCATTTATCACCTCCCTTTGTACTACTGTCAACCAAATAAAATTTAATACTGTTTTCTTATTTTGAATTCTCTAATACTGAGCATTGTAAAAAAAAAAAAAAATAGTCCCATGGTCGAAATTGAGCTTAGAGATATATTTTTCCTTTTTAAGGTAAGTGCTCTTAGTTTACAAAGGAAAAGAGAAGTCAAATAAATAAATAAATAATTTAAAAAAAACAGGCTTCTTAACAGTGGACTCCAGTGATGCAGAGTTTCTCCAAACAGTCTGTCTAATGCATATACACTTGTAATAATCATGTTCAGTTCATATAGTATATATACATATAGGGGTGAGTGTATGTATATATATATATATATATATATATAAAGGCAACTTAAATGATTAATTAAATGGACCAAACAGAATATACCCACATGGATTGCTGCTGCTATAACATTTCAATCCAACCTCTCGTGTGTGAGAGAGAGACAATAGGTTAAACCAGAAAGGCTATGTGCACAACACACTAAAACAACTCGGTCTCGACAAATCAAGGTTGTTTCAAAAAGATAAAGATTGGACAAAATGTATATAATTACACGGCCATCAAGCCACAAAACAAATTGACAATCTTCCACACAACCAAAAAAAAAAAAAAAAAGAATAATATCGAAATTCCCCGTCTGACATTTTTCATAAAATGTGAAATTACAGGGGAAAAGAAATTTGTTGCTGCTACAAGAAAAGGTAGTCAGAAAAGAAATTGCAAGAACAAAGAAATGAAAGCACCAAATTGTGTATGCTAAAAATGTGGAAACAATGGAAGACGTTGATTTTTCTTCAGTTTGCAGCTGATGATCATGGTGCATCCGAACCGATAGACTGAATCTGCTGCTCTGCATCATTGTCTCTGCCACTATCCGGGGTTTGATCATGTCCTAAGCTAGAATGACAAAGCTCCTCAATTTGGCTCGTCACCTCAGCCATTGAAGGGCGCTTATCGGGATACTGAGCAGCACAGTGGATAGCTAGTTGCAAGAGCTGAACCATCTCCTCCTCGACACTTTGATACCTGAGGAGCTCAAGGTCGAACACCTCAACTGTCCATTCCTCTCGAACCACAGACTGGACCCATCTTGGGAGGTCTACCCCCTCCTCGTTCAAGAGAGCGTGAGTGGGAGCCTTACCTGTCAGCAGTTCCAACAGCAAAACACCAAAACTGTAGACATCCGCTTTCTGTGAGACTTTGCGAGCATCTGTCACCTCTGGTGCCCTGTACCCCGCAATGCGGTTGGGACTGGGAGTGGGTCCAACAAGATGAGCAAGGCCAAAGTCCGAGACACGAGCTTCGTAGGAGTTAGTGAGAAGAATGTTTGATGACTTAATGTTGCCATGGGAGACAGTAGGGCCCTTCGAGTGGAGGTATGTAATCCCACGAGCAGCTCCAAGGGCAATAGCAGACCTTGTTTCCCAGTTTAATGGTGTCCTACCAGATCCTTTGTTTCCTGTAACGAAGAAAAACCGAAATCATGTAAATTGGAAAGCTAATAGGCAGATGATTCTGTCTTTTGTTAATTGCACTCTTTTTTATAGTCCTGGATATCAGCAAGATTATGCAGAGTTTGCTGCAATTGTAAATCGTATGCCATTAAAAATATCATAATTTTAGGGAACTCAAAAGAAGTAAATGGACTTCAGCCTATGTACGAGAAGAGGAAAAATGGAACGTGTCTAAGCTATGAAGCCACAAACAAATATGAAACTAAATACAATCCTAACTAGAGTAAACACTGTTTCGTAATGCAAAATCTTGCATAAATTACATTATTCACTAAGGCATTTCAGAAGAATTTCAGTTAGCATATATTCAGATTAGAACTTCGAAGCATATTCAATGTGAATGGTACCTGCACATTGGTTGATTGGTTCTAAGGAATGGGAAGCCTGTCAAAGAACAAAGAAGGCAGAATGCAGTAAAGGTGTCATATTCTACATCATATAGCATTTTTATCAAATGGCAAAAAGAAAATTGGCATATGTTCTTGGCAAGTTTCATCACTAAGCCTCCTTGTAAATATAATGAGAGCTTGGGGACCCTACCGTAATAGCCACTGGTTGGCTAAGAGGAATTCAACTCCATTAGGCAAAAAACATCATATCATGCTAATCACATTTCCTTGTGACACCATACAGAGTGACGATAAAAGGAAAATGGTTCATCAAAAAAAGTCTTGCTAATGATTAACAAGGCTGAATTTATAAAGCATTTTTTTTAATTAATCAAGCATTATACTATGCGAATCACATTTCCTTGTGACACCATACAAGTCATAAAGAAAGAAAAATGGTTCATCAAAAAAAGTCTTGCTAATGATTAACAAGACTGAAGTCTATTAAGAGAAGTTCTTGGGACTGGTATACCTGAAACTTCAATATAAAATGAGTAAGCATAAACAGACAAATACTATTGTTCAAGAGAGGCACATGACCCACTCTTAATAGATCCACTACCACATTTGGTAAACCACATTAAAATGGAACTAAAAGACATAGCAATCCATGACATCTATAAAAAAAATTAGAAACCATTTAAAGGTTCAATTTTGTATACAAGAAAAAGAAATCCAACACACCCCAATATGTTTAAGAAGCCATAATTATTCTAAGGAGGCATCACAATCCAATTATCACAAGATCCCAAATATGTTAAAAAGGGTTACCACTACTTGGAGAGACTGTTCCGATTTCAAACCCGTGACCTTGAGGTCATAAAGGAGCAACCTTACTATTTTGCCAAGACCGATCCTCAAGATCCAAAATATGTAAATGGGCAAGAAAGAATGAACAGAAATTATAACAACAAATCAAAAAGGCACAATATGATGCAAAAATGAATCACTCACCATGTAGAAGTGCAGATAAGCTCCCCATTGGCATGTAATCATGGACAAGAAGCTTCTCATCCCTGCTATAATAGTAAGCTCTCAAAAGCACCAAATTCTCGTGATTCATTCCTCCCACTGCTTCTATCTTCTCCCTGAATTCCTTCTCAGGCACCGACACATCCTTCAACCTCTTCACCGCCACCACCGTCCCCATTTCCAGCACCGCCTTATACGCCGTCCCAAATGTGCCTTTCCCCAACACCTCAGCCGATGCCCTCAGCAAATCTTCCAAATCAAAACCCCTCTCCGAATTCCCGAAAAACACCAGTTTCTTAGTCCCACTGGCACTACCCTTTTTCGTAGCTGCCGCCGCCATTGACGAAAACCCAGAGCTCATACTATCCCCATCACCACCGGAAGATTTTTCGCCACGAATTTCAACTTCCACATTCTTCGTTGTGGCTATATCTTTCGAATCGGCTTTCTTACTAGTACCACTCTTTTTGCGACACAAACATAACAAAATTAGTAGAATGAACAAAACCCCAACTACTACCCCAACTATAATTCCGGCGATTGCACCGCCGGAGAGTTTGTTGTCACCCCCATTTGTTGTCCCATTTATTGTCCCATTGCAAGAGACAAGCGGTCCACCACATAGAGAATTTCCGGCGAATGCGTTGGAGGGCATTCCGGCGAGTGGCGAAGGGACCGAACCTGTCAATTGATTGAACGAAACGTTGAATTGCTGAAGAGGTGGGATGTTGAGATCAGGGATTGAACCGGTGAAGTGGTTGTTCTCCAAGTAGAGAGTGGCCAAACGGGTCAGATTGTTGAACGAAGTAGAGATCTCGCCGGAGAAGTTGTTGGAGGCGAGGTTGAGACGGACTAGGTCGTGGAGAGAGAAAATGAAGTCCGGGATTGGGCCGGAGAAGAAGTTGCCCTGAAGATAGAGATTGCGGAGGCCGGAAATGGAAGCGAGGTCGTTTGGGAGTGGGCCGGAGAGGGCGTTGAAGCGGAGGCTGAGTGTGTGGAGGCGGGTCAGATTTCCGATTGTGTGTGGTGGGATTTGGCCGGAAAGCCCCATGCCAGGGAGGCGGAGCTCGGTGATGATGTCGGACTGGCATGTCACGCCGGGCCAAGAACATGGGGTGGTCGCGGAGGTGTTCCAGAGAAGGGATCGGCCGCCGACGGCGGCGCGGAGAGCGAGAAGCGCCGCTCTGTCAGCGGCTAGGTCAGATTTTCCGGCGAGGAGAGAGAAGAGAATGGTAGTGAAGAAGATCAAATGGGTTTTCATTTTTGATTGGCTTGTCTTGATAAACACCATTACACTATTGTTGGGTTTTTTCACTAAGCTCTTCTTCTTGTCCCTGTTTGATTCATCATTGGTAGAGAGAGAAAGTGTAGTGAGAGAGAGAGAGAGAGAGTGGGGGTGCAGACAGGTGAGGTCAGAGAGTGTCCTATTAAATTTAAAACCCAGTGCAGAGCTTATGATTTTGGACTTTTTTGAGTGGGGTCCTTTGAGCGCGAAAAGAGAAAGAGCTTAGGCAAATTTAGAATTTTGAAAAAATAATGGGGCAGTTAAAAGGACCCGAATCCCCTCTAGTGCGATACTGGTGTACCGGGCTTAACCAAGTTTTTCTGTGCAATATATAAACGGAAAAAGTTGTTGCATAGCAATGAATTATTATTGTTACATAATCGATCTAATGATAAAACTCAGCCCAAGATGGAATGGGATCTGAGAAAATCCGACGAAATCGGATGGGTCAGAAAGTGACCTATTAAAACCCTGTAGATTTTTTGAACTTTTTGTGGGTGGGGTCGTTTGAGCATGAAAAGAGAAAGATTGGGGCAAATTTAAAATTTTGAAAACTAATGGGGAGTCAAAAGAGTCTACAATTATTATCCAGCGAGGCAAGAGTATTGAGATTCCGGATTTTCTGTCCCATTCTCTTCTCTCACCTAATGGACAGCTCTAACTTCCTTAATTAATTTATTTTATTTTTAAAAATAAAATCATTTTTTATGTGATTATCTACCTCTAAATTAATGGGAATAAAAAATAAACAAGGTAGTATAATTTCTATAACAAAAAAGGAAAATTTGATTGATTATTATTGTTATTTATTTTTATAACATGTATACAGATAATTTAAGCTAAGTTAGTTAGTTTATTTATTTATTGGGGGGTACAAAAGACTTCCAATGATATATAGATTAACCCTAAGCCACATAAAGTGAGAATAGGAGTGAGAGTGAATTCGAAAGCGGGAACATTATAGCGACAAAATTATGTCATAAATAGTGAGAATTTGAGCCAGAGCAAGTGTAAGAGCGGGAGCGCACTTGAAACATAAGAGCAACACTGTTGAAAAGAATTGTGTGACTTAAGATTAACCTGCCAAAAAAAAAATGCTTATTAATTTGATTGTAATTTGAGATTTTTTTTTTTTTTTTTTTTACAAGAAACTCACACACATCTCATTCACACGACAAATTTGCTTTCTTGGAGATTCCAAAATTCATCATCCGCTTTGAGAGGTAAAAAAAATACCACCAGGTCACAAGATCATTAGTAGTTGGATACATATTCACTTATGGAAGACCTAAGTCGCATAATCCTTCTAAGCGGGTGTCGTTTTCATGTTTCGACTATGCTCCCACTCTTACGCTTCGCGCGTGCTTCTGACTCAAATTCTCATTATTTATAACTTAATTTTATCGCTCTCACGCAGCTCAAACTCTAACTCTCGCTTGACGTGACTTAGCCAAGTACACACCCTATGTATTTAATTTAATAATAATAATAATAAAATATCTATTTATTATTATTTCATATAATGTACATATAAAAATGTAAGTATTGTCAAATTCAAAACCTATTACCCTAAAATAAAAAATTTCGCTCAAATATAAAGTGGACTCTATAGAATCCTCAAAAGCTCTGGTCAAATAGGGTCCTCAAAAGTAAATATATCACCTCCTCAAGGACTTGTGTTTTTTATTTTTCTCTCTTTTTCTTTTATTTTCTAATTTATTTAATTGAAAAAAAAATATTAAAAAAATAATAATTGACAGAAAAGGCCAGAGTGTCGCATCAATAACATAGTGGAGTGGAACAAAGATTATCTGACAACTGTGCAACTAAATCACCAAACTGATTCCCCAGGCATCTTTTTGCCTGTTCAACACAGAAGGTTCCTCTGCTAAAGAATTGGATAACCCTTTTCCCATTTTCTAGACCTAGAACCTACAATTCCTTTGTCCTTTACTTTCCCTTTCATTAACCCTTTTTTTTTATTATTATTTATAATTATTTGGAACCTTTTTTCAAATTTTTATCGATAAAATATGTTGAACTATCAGTGAAATATATCTATTACATTAATTTTTATGATAATGATATTCTTATGAATCATGATGTAGCATGTTGCTTGCGTGCTCAATTTAAATCTTACTGTATCAGTCAGTGCACAGAAAATGATTCTTATTCCTCTTATGTTTTCACTTCCTATATAGGCTGATTTTTTAATGCTAATCAAATCAAGAGAATCAACAAGAAAATAACACGAATAAATATGAAAATAAAAATAATAATAACACGAATAAATAAATATATTTACCTACGTCTCACGAGATATTATTGTGTCAACATTTGTTTGGTCCACTTCTGAAATTTATTATGCTATTTAATTTTTCATTTTCAAAAACAATTTATTTTCATTGAGAGCATCCCCTCTCACACAGTAGCAGTTTACAATGTGTGTTATAGATGCATGAGAGAAGATTCATAATGTACGACTAAATTTTTTTCTAGCAAAATAGTGTCCGGTTCGGTTAGTGATGTATGTACAAAAATATTGTAACGTTTAGTTTCATATCACAATATTTTGATTGGTAATGTACGTTACTAACTAGAGCGGACATGACACTATTGTTTCACAGATGATTATGATCTATAATGTGCATTCATAATATTTTGGTTGGTTATTGATGACTATGATTCGCAATCGTGGTAAAATAGAGTCGGATGAATATTGATGTAAGCTGGCCAAAACAACCAATTCATGAGGTTGTTTAACTCCTTTACAAACCACGATACAGCGAATTATGATATGAAAATATAAACTAATCGAGTAATGCTATCATGAGATATAAACTAATTGAGTAATGCAATCATGAGAGGTCGATCTCCTATCATCCTATGTAACGATTTATTAAATGACTAATTTAACTTTTTACGCATATCAAAAAATCTTTCTCAATTCATATGATTAAATAAAATGATTATCATATTTTTGTGATGAGAGAACACTCTTGATATGATTACCCAATAGAGTGTAAATTTATGTGAGAAATTATCAAGGGCAGAGCCAGTGTGTGCCCAGAGGGGGCACATGCCTCTCCTAACCTGGCCCCGCCCATTATAAAATATAGTAATTTTTATTTTAATTTATACATTTATAAGAAAATCTTTATATAATGTCCCCCTAAAATTTTAAATTTATAAAATTGTCTTCTAATTTTTTTTTTTCCTATTTCTTTTACTCTTAATATTTCTTTGATTTCCCTTTTAAAAAAGTTAAATTTTCCTTCTTTACTCAAACTCTATTTTTTTTTTTTCTTTCAAATTTCTCAATTTTCTTCCCTTTTTCTTATTCTTCTTTTTCTTATTTACAATTAGTCTCTAGCGCTCTAATTTTTTTCTCTCTCTAAATGAAACTAAAAAAGGGTTCACTTTGATTCCTATTGTTCTAATTTTTAATACTATAATTGTCTTTCCTTATAGAGTTTGGATTCTGGTTACCAAATATTTCTTTACTAAAATGGAAGCCATTAAACAACATTACCAGAAGTAAGACAATAGTACCAGCACCAAAAGGAAAAAAGAAAATACATATATATATATATATATATGAGAGTAATTATTGGTTTTATAGTTAAGAGTAACGGAGAGAGGAACTTGAAATTATTTTGAAAAAATCCCAAGAACATCCAACACAAACACATTTCTCAAAGTCCAAAATAAACAAAATACAACAACAATGATTGTTGCAATAACACCGACTCTAAAAAGAAACGACCAACTAGAAATAAGTACAAATTACTAAAAAAAAAAAAAAACTCAATGAAACTTTAATTATAAAACATATAGAATAAATATTAGAGTTAAAAAAGAACATGAATTAAATAAAAAAAATTTGTCGACAATTTTCAATTGCTTATTTATGAATTCATAAGCACGCATAATTGACCATATTACATAACAAATGATTTTACTAACAATTCAAAATTTTATATGTTCTTTATTTGAGCGAATCCTTTCAGCAAGAATTTCAAAATTACTTTATTGGCAACAATTTGAAAACTAAATATTATACATTCTAGTCTTTTTTATTTATATTATATATATATAGCTCTGCCAAATTGCCAATCGATACACACTTGGCTTCATCAAATTTTAATCTAGGAGAAAACATGAGAGAAAACATTAATGAATTAGAGGAGGAGTTAGAATTGTAAAGGAGTCCCATAATTGTAAAATAGTCCCACGTATAAGAGATGGGGGATTGAACCAAATTTTAATTTTTAGGAAACGTTAAAAAGAATTTGATTAAGGCATGTCTTTATATGGAGGGCAGTTATGGTATTAAAAATATAATAACTAAAATTAGTATGATATATGGATTTTTTTGTAATTTCATTTTAAAAGATAAAAAAAATGGAGTGCCAAAGGTTAATTGTGGAGCGCCAATGTGAACTCCCTTTTAAACAAATACAAGACAAAGGTTGATTTAAAAAGCTATTAGATAATAAGTTATTTCAAATTTGTCATCATCATGTCCATCATAAATGTCTTTTCCTTTTCTATCCTTTCATTCTTAAGAGCATAACAAAACCTACTATTATATCTCTTCATATTCTTCATTTTCATTTCTTTTTCTTACAACATTTCATACCAAATACAATTTTTTATCTCCCTCCATTGCTATTTTTTTATTTTCTTTTCCTTCCATTTTGGTTGTACCAAATTTTAAATTGGCCTAAAGAAAGGTTATTAACTTACCCTTTTAATTCTCTATGTCCTAGAAAGAGTGTTGGTTTTGAAGAGTATAAATTTTTAAGGTAACATGTGAGACATACATTATCTTTCTAAAAAAATTACTAAATTGCTCTTTTAAGTTTTGATTTAAAATATATGCAAAAAAGAAAGTGAACAATTATTTTGGAACAACCGAAAAAAGAAAGGAGGATACTTTTTTTTAGGACGAAAGGCAAGGGCGAATCCAGGAATTGTTAATGGGGGCTAATATTAAACAAGGGGGAATTGGGGATCAAAGATTAAAGAGTTGAAATTTTTTAGAAGAAATATGATTAAACTTTAGAGAAAGAGAAGAAGTGAGCTCTCTGATTTGTGCAAGATTAAGAATTTATGAGTTATCTGTGCTTTGACTTAGTGATTGTTTAGGTCTTGTTTGACTTGGGTCTATTTGATTGAGCCTTTGTTTTAAAATTGTGGCTTAAATATTGGACTTATTTGAATGGGTTAAATTTGGAAGACTAATACTGTTACTAATTTTTTTTTTTTTTTAAATATTGGGCTAAATATACCTACGCTAAAATAAATAAATAAAATTCTTTTGGGGGAGGGCTCAAGCCCACCCAAGCCCCCGAAAGGAGTATATAGTAATGATTTCCTTCTCAATGAGTGCTGCTCTTAAACTTCGAAAGTACTTTTGCTTTCATAATACTCTCATTTTTACTTGTGTGATTTAAATTTTACAAACATCTTCGTCTTTAAATTCGCTCTCGTTTCATGTGAGGGTGAAGGTGTAATATATATATATATATATATATATGTATATAATTTCACATAACTAATGCAACCCTTTCAAATCATTGATTAGTTGTAAAAATGCTACTGGATTTTCGTCCCATCAAAGTAAAAGCTGGCCGTTGGTTGGTCGTATTGCCAAAATAATGTAGACAGGCCCACAATAATAGACAGATGTAGAATTGAAAAGTGGGACCACAGATCATTAGCAACCGTCCGATTAGAAAAATAGTCGGTGCTAAGCAATTCGTAGATGTTACAGGTTAACTTCCTGATGGCTGCACTCATCATCTAATTTGATTGAGGCTATTGGCTACCTCTTACAATTGCTTTTTCCTCATGGATCGTCTTTATCCTATACCAAAAATTATGCCCTACCTACAAGGACCAATGTCTCTGTAATGAATATATATGTATTTTTTTTTTTTTTTTTTTTTCGGAAATTTGAACAAGTGCAACAATTTCACGACAAAATTCAACAAAGCTATTACAAAAATGAATGAGCCACAACATAGTCAAGTGTTGTGATTTTGAGTGCAACGTCCATGCTCAGTAATTATTAGACACTCTTCTCTCATATTGTATTTGTCCTCTCTCTTAATGCAATGAAAGTGTTGTGATTTTAAGTGCGGCGTCACGCCCCAGTAATTGCTCTCATATTGTATTTGTCCTCTCTCTTAATGCAATGGATGTTTTTTCGTTTTAAAAAAAAAAATTACAAAAATGAATAAGCAAAGTGAATTTTTACATGAAAGATACAAAGACACAAAAATGAACAAGTGATAAATATACAAAGACACAACATGATGAAATTTCACATGACAAAAATCAAAATTCTTTTATTACAAGATTGAAAATGTGCGAGAGAACTCTAGAACCTAATTAAACTAAAAATGTGTGAAAAACAAACAATGTAATTCATGCGTCCTTACCATGTTTTGTGTTGCTAGTGCAACAACATCGTAACAAAATTCAACAAAGTTATTGCCATTAACTTATGAGGTAAAAAATTGTTACAACAATGTAATAATTGTTACATAATCAATGAGAACATTCAGAACATGATACAAGAAGAAATGTCACAAAAGAGGACCAAAATCGAAATTCTTTTCAACACAAAATTGAAAATGTGTAAGAGAATTCTATAACCTCAACAAACTAAAAATATGTCAAAAATGGACTATGCAAATCACCTGTCCTCTTACTTTGTCTACTTCTGAATGTAAAATATTTTTCAAATATATATATATATATATATATATATATATTAATAAAATATTTATTAAAAATAAATAAAAATCTAAAAAAAATTATTTATTCATTAATTTAATTTTTAATAAATTATTTTACGGCCAACCCACCTCAACATAAACATTTACCAAACACCTAATATAAGTTAATACTATAATTTGGTCATTTTTACTGCACCATTTTGTTTCACAACACACAACCTCACCATTTTCTAGTATATATTAATATATTGTACTTTTATTATCTGCAAAAACATACAACAGTACCATGAACTACTACTTATTCTAAATGTAAGCTTCACAGCTTGCTGGAAATGTTGATGTTCCTTACTTTGGATGACTTATTAGGGTTTGAATCTTTGGGCACAACAATGGTAAGAACACCATTTTCCACCTGAGCCTTGATCTGCTCCACCTTCACATTTTCCGGCAATTCAATTTCCCTATAAAAATCTCCCCTTTCCGTCCCCCTCTCCGCCACATGCCAAACAGTGTCTTTTCCCTCTGATTCTTCTTTCCCTCTCCCCTTCACTTTCACAACCAGCACATTCCCATCTTCTACCTGTACCTTGATGTCCTCTTTGTTGTACCCTATCCAACACAAAATAGCCTTAATACACACAACCCTTTATAATACAAATATACAATAGAGATTAGAGAGAGTAATTTGTGTTAGCGAGTCAAAATTGTGTCTTATCAATCTTACTGTTAAAAATTATCTACACTAACTTGACCTGTTTATTAAACAACAAATACTAAATAAGTAAAACTCCGCTTAAAAAATCAGTTTTTAACTCATAACTTGACACCATGAATAACAATTTATGAAAATAAGGACAATTAGAAGAAGAAAAAAAGGAAAACACATAGTGAAAGAAAAAAATCATAATAATTTAATTAAAATAAGGTACAGATTAATCTCCAAATGAGTAGGTGTGTGAGTGAATTTTTTGTTCGGATTAATCTGACACTATTAATTAAACAAATTTAATCGAATTAAACATGTTGAATTCAATTAATAAGAGATGAGTACACTTAATCAAAAGAGCCCATATAACAACGATTTATGATATGTATATATATATATATATAGAGAGAGAGAGAGAGAGAGAGAGAGGAGAGAGATTGATGTGGTACCTGGGACGTTGATCTTGAAGACGTGGGCGTTTGGGGATTCAATCCAGTCCATGAGAGCCGTTGATCCATGCAACGGTCGGTAGATCGGAGGGCTCAAGAAGAAGCGCCCGAAAGGGTCACCGAGGAGAGCCATTTTTTGCAATGGGCGAGTAGAGAGAACAGAGTCCTTAATCGGAGGGTAATTTTCAAGACTCCGTTTGGTTATAAGTATTTCGTGTAGGAAAGTTGCGGGAAGAGTCTGGAGACTCTAGAAGCTTCTCTCAGTGTGTTTGGTACTTTGGAGAATATGAGAGAGGAATGATATTGTGCAGTTGGTACTATCTTATCGTCGTACTGCACAGTGGATCATCATCGATAATATTGTGGACTTTGATTTGAATGTTGGAATATTTTGAATCTTCTTTTGGGATGGGCCGGGCCTAAAACAGTTGGGCTTGGTCTTTTTGGGTGTGAGTAAGGCCAGATTGAGTTGGACTTGAAGATATCCGCCATGAAACTCACTGGTCCTCTTTTGGGTTCTTTCTTGATTTTCTATTTGAGGATTTGTTTTTATTTTGCAATATTTCCCTTTGGTTTTCTGTACATTAAAAAAAATAATAATAACTTAAGACATTAAAGACTTTGATGTAACCAAATTTAACCGGATAAACAAATTATTATAAATCCACATAGCAATCATAGCTACGAAATCATTTGCATTGGTCACATATGTTATACACACCTAAAGCTAGAATAGTGTGTGTATATATATAAGTGTGTGTGTGTGTTGTGTGAGTATCATCATACGCATGATATTACTTTGAGCACCGATTTGGGAAGAACCTGTCAGAACAGGATCTAAGTCACATAAAGTGAAAGCAAGAGCAAAAGCGAATTTGAGAGCGGGAGCGTAAGAAAAGCATAATTAAGTGATAAGTAGTGAGAATGAGAGGGGAAGTGACACCTGTTGAGAAAGATTGTGTAACTTAGAATAAAACTCCTTAATACTTCATATTTACAGACTGAAAATTTTGACTTAATTCAATGCCTTTTAACTTACACTTGTTATGGGAGACTCTTAATAGCGTTACATAATATTTTTTAAGTCGAACACAAATGAACACATACACCGAGACACATAATCCAAAGTTTCCTAGAAATTCTTCCTTGTATTGGAAGTACCATGTCATTAATATCATGAAGCAGTCATTTTTATCATCTAATTAGTGAATAATACGTTTCGTTATTACGTACTCCTGAATTATTAAAGTTTCTCTCACACACTAAAATGCATAATGAATATAAACATGACATCTTAATTAGCATGCATATGTCTTTTCTTGTTTGGCTCTTTGCCAAACATAATAATATTCTTAGGTTTCTTTGCCGAAAGATCACCATATGTGCATGCTTGATTACCTTTTTAATCAATATATATATATACATGCCAGACTCTATCTCTCTCTCTCCCAATCAATCAATCACACACACACACACTGCATTCATGCATGCATGTTCCTGGAACCATATCCCCACCATACATGCAGAGAATTAATTGGTTTTGCTAACCCTATTTTTTTTACTTATCATCTGATCATAACTCTACAATTCTTCTTTGTATGAGAGAGAATATACATACAGCAAAATAATATATTTTTCTTTATATTTGAAAGAGATAGAGAGAGAGAGAGAGAGAGAGAGAGAAAGAGAGAGAGAGAGCCAACATGTAGTCCACTACATTTCTTGTCTGCTTTTTTTTTTTTTGGGTAAGTCATTTCTTGTCTGCTTGATGACTAATAAAGTATAAAATGATTAATCATTTGAGTAAGTGCACCAGATTTTTTTTCTTTTTTTTCTTTTTTTTTTTAATAATTACATTGATATATCATTTACAATCATGTGACACTTAATCAAGTAATTAATTAATTACTTACATGCTGTATAATTCAATCAAATTATTTCGCTTTCAATAAAAGTATGAAAAATAAATAAAATCAACCAACCCAATATATATATATATATATATATATATATATATTGATACATAAATGCAATAATAGGACCATGTAAATAGATGAAGAAGCAACCCTAACACATCATGAAGGAATCATCATCTGCAACTTTACAGAAAAAAGAAAATGCCATGCATTTTTTTGATCATATTAAGACAAGACAACTTTAATTGTCAAGTGGAGAGGAGGGTGGAATCTTAGCCTCCTTTTCCTTTCCTTTCCTTCCCTTTTAATCTCCTTTTGGAAAGAAATGTAATGAAATTCTAATTAACAAAAAAAAAAAAAAAAAAAATTAAAAAAGCCAAGTTGACAACATCAAGAAATAGAAAGGCAGCCAAAAAGCAAATCAGAGGATGAGGCCTGAAGGTAGGATTCCTTCTTGTAATTTATTTACCTGCAAAAAGCAAAGAAAGATAAGAAAATGGGTTCAGTAATGAGCAATATTCAAGACATCATCATTTATTTATTTATTATTATTTATTTATTTATTGAGATATCCATTACAAAATGTTAGAATAAGTCTCTTTAGTCTTACGTTATCACACCATCCAAGTTTTGGAGATTGAAAGACTACCTCATATATTAGACTTCCATCAAGTTTCATTTTCCTTAAATAATCATGATTGATGAAGTAATGTTTGGTAGAGTCGTTAGAAACTTATGATCTGGATCAAAAGAGCATCATTTTCCTTTCTTTCTTTCTTTTTTCGTAGTCAATCAAACACTAAAATGAATGATGAATTGAAAGGAAAGGAAAGAGAAAATAGAGAAGGAATTTACCATTTGACCCAAACACCTTTCTTATGAAAATTAAGAAAATGATGAGTAGAGCAACCACGGCTAATAATCCAATGATAATCGCAAATGTCTTCTCACCCTCATTGTGGGAAAAATCTGCACTCGCAGATGAATTAAGCAAACTATCATATTGAGGGTACGTGTTTATGTATTAACACAAATACTTGTTGAATTCTGATTAAAATATAATCGTTATCAAGGAAGACATTTATGAAAATAAAAATCTATTTTGATACTAAAGATAAAAAATTGTGAATGAAAGAAAATATAGTAGTAGTATTGCATTTTATTTATTTATTATTATTATTATTATTTTTGACGTAAATGAGCATTTCATCATTAATTCTACCCACAATTAAAAAGAGGTTTCTTTGGGGACAAGAAATATCTAAAAAACCAAGTTAGATATATACTTATTTCTCATTCCCTCTCATTTTTTAAAGAAAATAAATACAGAATGGAAATGAAGGGAAATAAATTTTCTATTTTCTAATTCTCTTCAATTTCTTTTCTCTAATTTTTCTCTTTAGCAAACTGACTTCGAAGAGATGAACACCTTAATGATATATCGTCTTCTTTTAAAGTGAAAATGAGAGAGTTTGAGTCTCCTCATCTCCTACCCAATATATATAGATATACTTGGACAGTGTTACTGTACATTTTAAATACAAATCTAATGTCTTACGTAATGGCCATTAATATGGTATATTCTGTTTTAAAATTGTTCGAATCCTACTTGGACAATATTGTGGGAGGAGGGAGATATCGATATATATATATATATATATATATATATATATATATATATATATACAAGTTATCTATATATAATCTAATCTAATTGAGTTTTGGGGAAATTTTGAATTATACTAACCTTTATGAGATATGGAATACAGATGAGCTCCACTAGTGGAGTACCTTGCATAACACTTGCCCAAGAACACATCTCCATAAACTGCATTCCCACAATCACTCCTCAACCGTCCGATCGCCTCCTTCACACAATCCTGACACTCGCTCACACTCAAATCCCCAACACACTGGGCCACACCCTGTACATCCCCGGATCCACCCACCCTGTATGGCCCACCAGCCCCACCCAAACTATCCAACATCGCATCCTTACCGTTGATCAAATCCGAATCATAATCAATCGACGGCCCACATTTCTTCAACACCACAGCCTTGTCCTCCACGCCCATAAAGGTAGTGTTATCGTACTTGGCGAAGCACCCTTGTAACTGTACAGCCCCGCCGCAGGACTGCGAGCACAGCGCGCCGAGTTGACTCACCGAGCGAGCCAGGCAAGCGGCACAATCTGGCATGGCCAGGTCACCTCGGCATTGGTAGAGTCCGTACACAGAGTCCTGTGGGGTTGACCCTGTGATGGTGAAGTTGTTGTAGGATGAGTAGGTGGCTGAGTTGACCAGGGAGGTGAGGAGTGAGTTGAGGTTTGACTCGTATGGTGAGTTTGGGATGTATTTGATCTGTGAACAGCCTCCGTAGACAAAGGAGTCTATGGAGGAGTGAGAAGGAATGAGAAAAGATGAGAGAGAAAGTAGGAAGGTGAGGAGTGAGAGAAGATGACGAACTGAGATAGCCATATGTATACAAAGAGGACAGAGCAGTGGGAGTTTGTAGAGTTTGTTATGAACTTCAACATGACATGACGGTCTCTTATATATTTCACTCTCAATGAGCTTGCAGTGAGTATTTTAATTATAAACTTTATTTTATTTTATTTTTTTTAAAATTTTAAATTTTCCGAATGGAGAGTTTAACCATTAACTGAACGAATTTATTGAAATCTAACAGAAAATAAACGTCACTTATATATAATGAGATTAAACTTACAAAGATAACAAAATAATTTTTATTTTTTTATTTTTAATTAAGACTTAAAAATTTCACCACTTAAAATACGACTCTTATAATTGTCGAGTACTTAAGTTTTATCAAATATCATTATATGTCATGCAACGTTCAACTAATGAATATGGCTCCCACTATTTAAAATGTGAGAATAGTTTTTGGAAGCTAGCACTCAAAACACATTTTCTTAATTCAATCGACCAAGTTATATATATTTTTAACTAATTCTATATTTCAATTATCCAAGGAAAAGAAAAATGTGCGCATACAACTTTATCAAGTAGACGCATAATTACTATGTGATGGTGTACTTAGCCTGAAGGAGTTGAATTGTAAAGGAAAGATGAGGTGAGAAGTAGGGAGAATTTACATAGAATGGACAGGAAAGGGATAGAAGGAAGAAGGAATGTGTGAAAGGAAATAAAGAAATATTTTATATTTTTTTAAACAAAATGATGGTACTACCAATTACAGCTGTTTAAAGTATGGTCCACTGCTCCCAGGGCATAGTGGCTTTGGCATAATATGCGAGGTAAGTTTTTGAAATTTTATTTTCGAACTGCATTCTGAATTTGGATTGTGCGTACTTTTAATTTAAATGATGTATGTGTTATACAATTGATATACATGTTCTACGGCGAAGCAAAAAATAAATAAATAAATAAATAAACCAATGCTATGATTTGCTAAATCGACTGGTTCACACGATTTTGGACCCACTCCATATTGGTGGAAATCGGTGCATCAATGAGTATTATTTATAACCGGAACAGGCTGATTTATAAAAAATGGCCCCTAATTTGGGGGTGATTGCACCCATGATAATGAGGCCCGTGTTGTAGTGAATCCACCATAATGAAGCCCATGTTGTTTTATAATGAAGCCCAAGGATTTCTGTTTACTCTTTTTCTAATTTCAGGAATAAGGGGACAGTCAAGTAAGTAGTCACAAATCGGATTAGGATCCACTTCTAATTGATTAGATAAATCTTAATTTGCAACCGATTCATTATTTCACATATCGGATCAGATCCGTGTAATAATAAATTTAGTCCGCGGATTAAATTTTGTCTAAATTATCTATTATTTTTTTTATAATTAATATTATTTATTATTTATTTATCTTTTAACCATAACTCAATAGATAAAATTTTTATTTATAATATTAATTTATATATTTAGATAATTATTAACTAATACATCTTAGAGTCTATTAAATTATCATTAACTAATTAAATTAATTAATATATTCTTTATATATATATATATATATATATATATATATATATATATATATCACGAATCGGATCGGATCGGACCCACGGTTCGGGTCAAATTTTTAATAACCTAATTCGTGATCCAATCCGTAAGTTACGGAATCGATTTTTTAAAATCCGCCATGGATCCATGGGTGTAGCAATCTAATCTGATCCGCACGGGTCGAACATAATTCACCAATTATTTGCCCACCCTTATAATCAAGAGCTTGAGCTCTTTTTGCTATTTATCTACTTATTTATTTTTAGTGGATAAATTTTTATTTTTCATCATGGCAACGTAAACTCATAGTGGAATTGATATATTAAAAAATTGTTCTTAATGGTTGTGTCTGCATTATGAAGTAGACCCAATTCCTTTGAATTTCATATTTTAGGTTGTTTGGGAACATACATGAAGACCTTGTGAAGTTCGATTTTTCTAAAAGGTCAAAGATGACTAAAAAAAACGTGCCATAAAGTTATTAGAAATAACAATAAATGGTAATAAAAAAGAATCCAGACAGAATTTATATAACAGACCCATTCATATAGAAATAAAACAAGAATGATGATGATGATAATGAATTTTTACATAAATTTTGTCTATCATCAGATGCACCCATGATCATCATCTTAAAAGAAAATCCATTAAACAGCGATCCATGCTAGGGACCTGATAGTTCTCTCTCTTTGAATGGAAAACTGTGTGTACAAGTGTGTGCAATGGTAGTTTGTTCTTGGACGGTTGGACTCAAATGTGTCACAATCAGCCTTCCTATTTAACACACCCAACAAAGCTATTGTCTTTTTGCCTTCTAACCTCACGAGCAGCCCACACTGCAAATGTGTACACAGATATTTTGCCTGGGTGGGAAGTCGATCCTGTTGGGGGGTTCTGTGCACAACCACAAAGTCGAAGGTGGACCGTGTTGGGGCTTTGCACGGTTGGATTTCGTACTGCATACCAAAACGGTACTTTTTATGCCATGCACAAAAAGAACCCTCCAAAAAGAAAGGGATGCTTAGCAGGGTTCAAAATCCTCACCTCCACCAACAAGAGGATCCTAACTATAAAGACTTGAACCTTCACTCACCCTTTTATTCACCGAGACGATTTCCACCAATATTAATAGAAACCAAAGTCTCCACATAAGTACCAAGTTGCAGAGACCAATAAATTTCAATATTCTTAATTTCTTTTGCACCCATGTCTAGAGTTGATTTTATTTTATTTTTCTTAGAGTTGGGCTTGATCAATGCACTTGTGGCATGTAAAAATTATATGAAAGAATACAAAAATATGATAGGATTTTATTACTGTATTTTTTTTTTGGGTGAGTGATTTTATTACTGTATTTTAGGTGATAAAGGAATCAAATTGTATTTTTCATCCCTAATTAAATTGTATTGTTTTTACTTACCGAAAAAAAAAAAAAAAATTATTATAATAATAATAATAATTGTATTGTTCTTTGTTGGTAGCTTGGAGGATTAGAAGGATCACTATTGCTGTCCAATTGGCATGCTCTCGCCACCTTTTGGCAGCCAATGTTGTCATTTCCTATGACAAAGCAGGATAGTACATCCGAAAACCGGAGTGGCGCAACAAATTTAAAGTTAGAGAACAAGTTATTGGGTTGCATGCTTTAATGAGATTACTATTAGAATTTAAGCTTTTTACTTTATATATAATTTTATTCAGTTCGTTCGTTCGGTCTACCGTGCACTATTTTAATTAGAATCGTGCACATATAACACGCAGCACGTGCACAACAAAAGGGACAATATACATGTTCTTGTGTTAAAGTAAATTTTTTTTTTTTTTTTAATTTAAAATCTCCCGAACAAAGACTTTAATCACTAACTCAATTCACTACTTAATCCTGAACGGATTTATTGGAATCAACCCGAAAATAAACGTCACTTATATAGTTATATATAATGAGATTAAACTTACGAAGATAACAAAATAAATTTTTTTTTTTAATTAAGACTTAAAATTTTCACCACTTAAAATAGGACTCTTAAAATTATCCGGTACTTAAGTTTTATCAAATATCATTATATGTCATGCAACATTCAACTGATGAATTCGGCTCCCACTAATTAAAATCCGAAAATAATTTTTGAAAGCTAGCGCTTAAACAGTTATGATTCGCCGCCCCAAAGGTATAAACAGCGTTGACAGTGATCTGTGAAGTAAGTCATTAAGATCTCACTTTCGAACCACACTCTTGATTTGAATAGTGCATGTATTATGGGACCAATACACATACTCTAAAAATAAAAAATAAAAAATTATGATTCGCTAAATCGATTGGTTCACACGATTTTAGACCCAGTATGGGTGGAAGTCGGTACATCAATGAGTACTATTTACAACTGAAGTAAGTCATTAAGATCTCACTTTCGAACCACACTCTTGATTTGAATAGTGCATGTATTATGGGACCAATACACATACTCTAAAAATAAAAAATAAAAAATTATGATTCGCTAAATCGATTGGTTCACACGATTTTAGACCCAGTATGGGTGGAAATCGGTACATCAATGAGTACTATTTACAACTGAACCGGCTGATTTATGCCTTTAGATGATGTCTATTTTTTAAAAAGTATATATAATATCTAAGGAAAATGAGTAAAATTTGTTACTGGTGAGTGAAATCGGGGTTGTTTGGTTCGGAGTCGGTTGCTTTTGGGTGGCTTTCCGATTTATGGAAAATGGCCCCTAATTTGCAAGTGATTGCACCCATGATAAGGAGGCCCGTGTTATAGTGAATCCACTGTAATGAAGCCCATGTTGTTTTATAATAATGAAGCCCATGTTGTTTTGTAATGAAGCCCAATGATATCTGTTTACTCTTTTTCTAATTTAAGGAATAAGGGGACAGTCAGGGGCTTGAGCTCTTTTTGCTATTTATTTATTTATTTATTTTTAGTGAATAAATTTTTATTTTTCATTAAGGCAATGTAAACTCATAGTGGAATTGATAAAGTATACTAGAAAATTGTTCTTAATGGTTGTGTCTGCGTTATGAAGTGGACCCAATTCTAACCCAATTCTTTTGAAGTTCATATTTACTAGGTTGTCACCTCGTCAGTGAGAACAGGAAGTTCGATTTTTTTAAAAGATAAAAGACAACTACAAATAACGTACAATGAAGTTATTGAAAATAATTATAAATTGTAATCGAAAGGATTCGAGACAGAATTTATATGGCCTATCAATTAAGACAAGAATGATAATGATAATGAATTTTTACCAAAATTTTGTCATCATCAGAAGCACCCATGATCATCATCTTAAAAGAAAATCCATTAAACAGCGATCCATGCTAGGACCTGATAGTCCTCTGTCTTTGAATGGAAAAATCTGTGTGAACAAGTGTGTAATGGTAGTTTGTTCTTGGACAGTTGGACTCAAATATGTCACAATCAGCCTTCCTTTATAACACCCAACAAAACATTGTCTTTTTGCCTTCTAACCTCATCCAGCCCACAACTCTGCAAACCACATGTACACACAGATATTTTGCCAATCCTGTTAGGATGGGTTCCGTGCACAACCACAAAATCCAACGTGGACCCGTGTTGGGGTTCTACACAGCTGGACTTCGTACTGCATATCAAAACGTTATCTTTTGCATCATGCACAAAAGATCCCTCCAAAGAGAAAGGGATCCTCAGCCGGGCTAAAAATCCTCACCTCCACCATGCATACAGGACCCTTCCAACAAGAGGGATCCTCATTCGAGCTCAAAACCCTCACCTCCCTGAAAGGGAGGGGGAGGTTATACAAGAAGGTATTCAAAGTGTCATGCATTAGTATACCCGGCCAACAAAAACACACTATTTTATTCAATTGATCTCACTTATTTTTGAAAATTACTCTCTTAATTATAATGACTTTGTCTAACTTGGCATGTCAATGACCTGGTATACCCAGCGCAATCAATATCTCCTCAGATTATACTAGTTAATCCTTGACTTGCAGCTGCAAATGCTCTCTCTCTCACACACACATACATATACTCAAAACTAATTATTGCCGTGTGAAGGGACCATCTCTCTCTCTCTCTCTCACACACACACACACACAAAAACACCCAAAACTCAAAACTAATTATTGCCATGTGAAGGGCACCATCACTCTCTCTCTCCACAGGACCCCGTCAAGGGAAGTTATACCACTTGGTCATTGACTTGCAGCTCCAAATACTTCTTTTAAATTACATAAAATAAAAGCAAAAGCGAATTCGACATCGAAAATATGAGAGCGTTAAAATTAAATCATAAATAATAAAAAATTAAACAAAAACGACACCTATTGAAAAAGAATGGCGTGACTTACCTCGTTCTCTCTCTCGTACCCACACCCAGACCCATACCCATACCAAAAACCAATTATTGCCACGTGCACCAACCTAGCTCTCTCCACACACAAACACCAAACTCCAATTATTGCCATGTGAACCAACATTGGGCACCACTTGATATACATCCCAACCATCCGACAACTCCACACTAGAAAGCTTAGCAGTGATTACAGTATTTATAATTTATTGGTTCGATCATCCCTTTTCAGTAATTATAAATCAGATGCTTATGGGAATGAAAAATCCATTGCCTGCTAACAAGTTTTTCACATTTTGGAACATGCCATGATCACAATTTTCATTAATGAAAAAACTTCTAAATCCGATACAAAGTGGTACATTTTTTTCCCTCCTACAGCATCCAATTTTCATGAGAAACTCCGATACGACGTTGTACATTGTTTTTCCGTCCAACAGCATCTAATTTTCATGCAACTTTCCGGTGGGATTACAAATGCCAAGAAAATTAAACGGAGACCAGAAATTGCTACTACCCCCAATCTTCCAAGTTCCTCAGAAGGTCGTGATAATGATGGTACTTAGCTTCTGGTCCAACAGCAATGCCACACTGTGTCGGTTGCTCTGATCCTACCCTAATAATTCCTCCAGCCTCTCTGAACCGTTGTTTTGTGGTCTTCAACAGTACAATATTTACAAGTCCGATTAGCTGGTCCTAGCATAGAGAACAAGGTCCAATTTCTTCATCTTCATGCCGCTGTGAAGATGTGATACGACGTACAAATACATCTAAGGCTTCCTTCATCCACCCATGCTGGCAAGCTTTTCTTGCTTCTGTCACGCTCAACTGCAAAACAAGTTCATATAATCAATAAACATTAGGTAATCCAAAATTTGGGAAATAGAAAAGGAAAATAACCAAAAGTGCCGAACATTTGTACATACCCATTTTCTTTGTCTAATGTCTTTCTCCGGCCAAATTTCTCGTTGCTCCTTAACAAGTAACTGAAACATGTAGCCTTCGTAAAAAACATCATTCCTTCTGCTTTTGAAATTCCATTTACCTAATTCACACTGCATAAATGTTCCAAATTATAAGATATTAGAATCCCATAAACCGTTCAAAAAAGTAAACTTCAACTAAATTGCAAGAACAAAAGAACAAAAATGAGATCAATTTGTCATCGCAGCAAATCATTTTCTTCCTTGAAATATCAAGTATTGTTCCGCTTGACAAGCACGAGGATGCATAACAACTACTCTATGAAAATTATCGTCAAACATCAAACGCAACACTAGCAAATGGCCTTTTCCTAATTATAATTATTTGATGTTTTAAACAAATATTGCATGAAAATTAATTGAAAGTTTTCATCTTTTGTCTAGCATGAGACTTAAGAGAAGGCCATCATTCTGTGTTTGTCTGTGCTTGAAGCTAGCAGCATCCGTCACATGGACTAAAAACCCTATTCAATTGAAATGAACATTTGTAATAGGAAAAAGATAAAGAGAAGAACGAACCTCAACAACGCCTGATACTCCGGCTTCCTCCATAGTCTCTCGTTGGGCCGCATCTATTATGGATTCATCAGTTTCCCAACCTCCCTGGTAATCAAATCGGTGGGATAAGTAGATTAGAGACAAATGAACTATAACATAGATTTAGAAACAAATATCACATGATTTAGCAAAACAAAATCGTAAATATTCTTAGTGATTGACTATCGGCATAAATTATTTCTAGACCAAGTACCTTGGGAAAAAGCATCCCTTTTGCTTTGTTCTGTGAACTAATGACAAGAACTTCTAATTCTTCCTCAACCACCGAGGATGACTTCTTGGTACCCTTATATCTATATGGAATGCATCTGCACAATTGTAAAGGTAACGGAAAAGAGTTATTCACAAAGATAATTATATTATATACACTCACATATACATAAATGAGTTAGTCAAAGTATTTCTCAAAATGAAATAATGACAAAATACAAATGGTGTAGAACTCCTGTACAAAGATATATTTAGAGAATGGCATCGTGCGGACATCCCCTGAAAATGAAATTTGTCCATTGCAAGTATTCCTCTCGGGTAAAAGTATATTCCGGTGGAATATGCAACAAGTTTGAAGTAATGAATGTTGCATTCTCGAAGTAACAGGGTAATAGCATTAAGGAAATTATTTAGAGTTTTTGACAACTCCGACTGTTTTATGTCGGCAGGGGCTGACGTCAGCCCCCACTCATATAAAATCAGTCAAAGTTGCCCGGTTTCAGACACTGTATCATCACTCCAACATTTAAGCACAAACATTGTACCGGAGAGGATCTGGGTCCACTACGAAATCATTATTTGTACCGGAGAGGATCCGGGAACCCTCTCTTTCTAGTTGCATATATGGCAAATCATTACTTGTACTGGAGAGGATCCCGGTACCCTCTATTTCTAGTTGTTGCATATATATATGAAATTATTATTTGTACTGTAGAGATCCGGCTACCTTCTAATTCTTCTCAGTTTCATACATTTTGAAATGATTCTCTTTTTCGTCCCATCATAAAAATCTTTCCATTTCCACTAAACATCCAAACACTCCCTAATTTGACATAGCCATCTAATTTCCAATTCTTGGATGGTGAAAAAGATATAAATTTTCCGCAAGTAAACGCATTTTATCAAATTAAACTCCATGTCAAAACCATAAATCACAAAGCAACTTTTCAGTTACACTTTTAAGTTCTTATTCTCAACTTCAACATAAAAACCAACAAATCTGAAAGAAACCCAAATTCCATAATGCGTTAGCATCTTCATATATATGTACATATGTATGTATAGGTGTATGTGTGTGTTTTTAGAGAGAGAAAGAGAACGAACCCAACGACTTGGCGACTGCCTTTGTTGTAACGCTGCAAATGTCTACCGGTGCGAGAAACCAAAGCCACCATATTTCTTCCTTTGAGATTGATTTTCTGTTGATTGAAAACAAAACAATCTACAGAGCAAAGGAATGGGAATTATTGGAATATGGAATCTCACAAACCCTAGAGTGAGAAAATGATGAGGAGGATGGGTTTGCTGTCTATTTCTGTCCACTGAATTTATGGATAACTGCTGCTATCAATCGACAAAAATGGGACCCCTTTTAATAACGCAACCTTTAGAGAGAGAAAACGACTTTCTAGAGTGAGAGAGGCCTCCTGCAGCTTGCGATGCGCGGATGCGCCTACTAACGTGTCGCTGACGCGTCTCGACTCTCGTTATTATTTTTAATAAATTACACCAATTAATTAAACATTCGCATTGGGTACAAAGATAGCCTACATTTTTTTTTGGTTCTCACTTTGTATGACTTATTAGATGATGATCGGAGCTTCGTACAGAGTTCAGTCACTATTTTTCTTTTTAAAACTATTATATTGGATCATATTTTATTTTAAGCCTATTTTGATTTTTTAAAAATAATTTTAAATGAATAATGTTGCGACTTTAATAAATAAGGTTCAACGTTTAACTTCTTTCCTTTAACATTTTGTGTACTTCTTGTTTTTTCTTTTAGTTCAAAGTGTACTTATTTTAAGGAAATGCGTAACAATTGTCATGAGACCGACCTTATTGTATTATATTACTATTTTTATTATATATTAAAAAAAAAATCATTAATTTGGTAGTTGTGTTAAGAGTTAAATTTAGACTAGAGTGAGGTCATGAATTGCGTGGGATAGGAAGTAGTTAAGCTCCTACATTTTAAAATCAGAGTCTTCTTATTATTAATCAGATTCCTATAAATAATGGTTCAATCATGGCTAATTAAACTGTTTTTTTTAAAATCTAACATTATTTTTTTTTCTCTTTCTAAGAATGTATGTTTCATAATGTTATGAAATATTCAAAAGAGAAATTATAATCATCATATCATGATCTTGTGAAAGATGTGACAACTATTTTGTCAATAATTGTAAGAGTCCTTGAATATATGTCAATATTACAAATGAGGGGTGATATCTAAATACAAGTTACAATAGAGTATTAATTAAAAAAATTCTCTCTTTCACGTCCCTTAGCTTATATTTATAGTCTCAGACTTTTACATGTGTCTCAAAATCCCCCGAGACTTTGCCTAGAGTAGCCATCATGGCCTTACAGGCTTTAATAGGGATATTTTGGTCTCCTGGCTCGATAATAGGTACCATTACATTAAATTCACATATTGACGGTAGCTCAGATTCATTAATGTGATTATGAGTGTTGCAGTTGAGACACGTGGACTCATCATTCATTCATTAATGTCGTTATGAGTTGGGTGATCTTTATTAGCAAGCGTGTGACATCATTGGTGATGCCAGATTTGAGCCCCGAATCGAGTGACGTGGGGTGTGCCACGTGGCTCAGTGAACTACATCCCCTACAGTCATGTCTCTATATTTTATTTTAATATTTTTTCTTACATTATTTCCTTCCCTTATTTTCTACTTGTATTTGCATGTAATAATTTGTATTTTCCAAAAAAGGTAAAAGAAAAAAATCCAAATTCGTAACTTAAATCCATAAATTGTATTAACCCTCTTCCACATGGATTATTTTCATTCAATTTAAATCTAGCTTTTCCAAAATGTAAAAGAAAGAAAGAAAAAATCCAAAAAATTTAACATAAACTCACAAATTTACCAAAAATGTAAACATAGGATTGTACGTAGACTTCATTGTTTGTTGTCAATAAAAAACAGAGGACAATAAGATTGACAGTTTGCAATGCTTGTGTTTAGTTAGGAATTCTGAAAGGAAGGAAATGAATCGACGAGTGCTTCTATGCTTTGTGATTAGTCGGATATGGACAAAAAGTTGTACTAATTTTTTGAGTTTTCAATTGTGTACGGAACCTTCTAATTAGAAAGTAGAGAGCTAGAGACTTACACGTCAATTTCACGTAAATTAAAGATTCGGATTTTTAATTACATTCATATTCATGCTAGAGACTTACACGAATTGACGTAAATTAAAGATACAAATTTTGATTTACATTCATATTCATGATGCAAGTCGCAACTCTTAATTTTGAATAAAGTGCGAGCCGATTCAAGAGATGTTTATTGCACGCGCCAAGCGAGGGAGTAGAAATGGGATGAGACAGTGTTTCCCACTTGCCTTCACTTTACTGGTTGATAGACAGCCACAAAAGTCTTTGCTGATGTGGACTCGAATGGCTGGATATAATTTCCACGTCACATCTATGATCACAAATGTCGATTGCCACTCATTCTTATCTTTTTATTTTAATTTTTTTTTTAAATTCTTTAAATTTTTTATTTAATTATATATTAAAACAAAAACAAAAATTCAGCTTATCACACATCTTTTCTTGGGGTCCATACTAACCCCATAAAGTATTTTGGTTTCTTGTCTTCTTGCTTTTATATGATACCAAAAAAGCATCTCTTGAAGGAAAAAAACAAAATATAATCAATTAGAGACATATGGTTGTTCTCTTTTAACCTTTCAAGGATCCACTAATGATAATATAATTTAATTACTTTTTTAAGAAATAATAATAGATATTAATAGAATATTCTTGATTGGATTTTTTTTTTTTTTTTTAATTGAGCATGATTTTAAGTTGAAGTTAAGTAAAACAGTAATAATTGTACTTGGGACTTCAACATCTCAATGGAATTATACAGTAAAATTCATATTCATTGTGAAACCATATCTACCGATTGAGATGCGACAAATAAGACAATTATTATTATCATTGATATAATTGTACTGAATATAAAATATGTGCTAGATGTTAATTGGGCGGTTTAAAAATCAAATCATCGCTAGTGATCGAGCATTGGACGATATTTATTGGTGTGAAATCCTTGATCTCCCATGACATGTCATATGATATTTTTTGAAATTTTAAAATGCGTGGTAGATGTCAATTGCGATTTTAGGGTCAAATCACCACCACAAAACCAGCATTGTACAGTAATTATTAGATTTTGTAGCCGACATTTACTTAGACATAGAATTAGTTACTAAGGTCAAAGCCATGAAACTTCAAACCATTTTACACTCAGAAAAAAAAAAAAAAAAAAGGCACACTGATATATTTTTGATTGGATTTTTTTTATTTATTTATTTATTAATTGAGCATGATTTTAAGTTGAAGTTAAATAAAGCAGTAGTAATGATACTTGCTGATACTTGCGACTTTAACATCTCAATCGAATTATACAGTGAAATTCATGTTCATTGTGAAATCTTATCTAACGATTGAGATGCGACAAATAAGACCATCATCATCATCACTGATATAATCGTACTGAGTATAAAATACGTGCTAGATGTTAATTGGACGGTTTAAGAATCAAATCATCGCCACTGATCAAGCATTGAACGATATTTATCAGGGTGAAATCTTTGATCTTCAACGACGTATCAAATGATATTTTTTAAAAATTTAAAATGCGTGTTAGATGTCAACTGCAATTTTAGGGTCAAATCACCACCACAAAACCAGCATTGTACAGTAATTATTAGATTATGTAGCCGACATTTACTTAGACATGGAATTAGTTACTAAGGTCAAAGCCATGAAATTTCAGAGCATTTTACACTCTCAGAAAAAAGGCACACTGATATATTTTTTATACTGTGTGCTAAATATATATACATACATACGTACAATGCTTCCAAATAATGTCAATCATGAATAATAGTCAACTAATACATCATAATACTGTATATCTTTCATGGCATGTACTAAATGAGAAGCACGTTGGTTCTATATATATGCCCTAATAGCTGATGTATCAAGAATTTCCAACAAATATATACGCGTATTTCTTATGGACTTGAATATTGACCATACTGAATTAGCCCCCCAAAAAACACATTTACATTTAAAATTTCTAGGGTTTGGTCACTTCCCAATTCTCACATAATTTTCAAACTCCCATTGAAATCATATTACACTGTTTGCCATTTCTTAACGTTATGTTAACATAGTAAAACGAAGTTTTATCTTTTAGGTATTGATACACCGTTCAACTGGTAAGATCTACATCATTTTGTTAAAATATACATAAAAATTTATAATTAACGACATTGCGATACTAAAAGAGAAAAAATATTTTCTGATTGTAAAAATGGTCGGCAATCAGATGCCGATATATATATATATATATTAATTATAGTATATTTCCACCCATTGACTTCACCACAAGCCTATCACCTTCGCCCACAAATTGAGAAAAGTTCCAAGTCTACTCTTTTTGTTTTGTTGTGTGCATTGAAGGCTGAGCCAGAGAGAGATCTAGAAGCAGAAGAGTTAGTCCATGAACGTTAAATTATTTCTAGAATATTAATTTTTGCTTCTCTCTCCTTGTCACGTGTAACGATCTCAATGGTGGGAATTATTCATAATTAATAGCAGTTGCGTGATTCACGATTGGTCGGTGAAAACATTTAATTTTTTAATCTGTTTTTCAAATCGAAGAAAGTGGAATATAGTTTTTTTTTAGTTCCCGTCCTTAACTTCACTGCTCTGACATGCAATTAATTATCTTAACTATACAAACCGAAATTGAAAGGCCCATTAAGCTTTATTTTATTTTTAGCTTTATGCAATATTCATGTTATAAATGCACTATAGTAAAAGAAAATGAGAGTGATTTTTGGCGGGAAAGCGCAGAAGAGAACGTGCGTGTCAGAAAAGAACGTGCGTGTCAGTTTGATAACTTTGATTGCACATTCTCCTTCAATAGTAAGTTGTTTAACGTAACATAAATCGTATGTAAGAGGAAGAAAAATATATAAATGTGTATTAAAATAAATGGCCGTTCGGTATTTTTTTTTATTTATTTTTTATATTTTTTATATTAATATTTAAATTTAGGTACATATCATATTTGGAACGACTGATATTAATTTAAAATAATTCATAATATATTAAATTTTTTGGTTCAAACTCTACTATCAAATTACTGATATTGTATGTGTAGAAACTAAAGTAAAATTTTAAAGACTTGCTTGGTTAACAGTTTTCGATTCTTAAAAAATTGTATAAAAAATTTTGATTTGTTCCGTTTTCTAAAAATTCGGTTATAAAAATATATGTTTTCAAATAATAGTCTTTTATAGTTTTTTGAAAACTATTCTCTATTTTCTGAATTTTTTAGAACTGTTTTCGAAATTACAAACAAAGCATGCCCAAAATTTCCTAAAACAAATTTTTGTTACCAAACATGATTCTAATTTCTTTCCAAAATACACCTACAACAAAATAGTTATTTTAATATTAACTAAAAACATAACGTATAAAATGCATTGCATGCCAAACAAGTCTAAAGGATATTTATGTCTTTTTATTTATCACCTTATATTTAACTATACATCTCAAATTAAATTCGAGATAGGTCATATTCCTTGTGGGGTCTCCCGTTTTTTTCAAAAAAAAACGCTATGCGTCCCAATTATAAGCGTGGTCCCTAGAAGGATTATAGTATTCAATTTGGTTCACATCAGTAACCTAACATCCCATGTGGGATGGAAATCATGACAGCAACCTCAAACATAAAAAATTTAGATATTTTTCATTATTTGTATGCTTTAAAATTTTATATTCAACACTCCCACCATCTCACAAAAGGCACCTTTTTTGGAAGCAATACAACTTCTCACTAGATTCGAATAATACAATACACAACTATTTTTGTTCTACTCGCCTTACTCAAGGTTACAAGAGTTCATGTTCTCTTCTCTCTTTTAAATTGGAAGACGAGAAGACGAGAGTTCAAGTTCCGATAAGAAAATTACAAATAACTAATAACCAAAATAAAACTTATGGTTTTGTGTATGTTATTTTTGCTTATGAGGAACTGAGGATAACTCATGCATAAGCAAGGTACAATAAAACGCTCCACATACAACTGTGTCATTATAGGATATATCTCTACAAAACCATTCAGCCTAACTGAACCAACGAACGATTATACAACAAATAGAACTGCTACCTACAGTCGCTACTATTGTGAATAGCAACCCTCAAAAACAAAGTCCTTCAATCATGTTAATCAAACTCACTCGATGGCCTGATCAGATTCATCGGAGTCCTCTTCAGATGTTACCTCGGACCCTTCTTCCTCTTCATCACTATCATCGATCCTGACGTCTCTATTGGCTGTCATTTTGGTAAGTGCAGCAGTCTTGCTTGCTCTCTGTGAGCGTATGCTCATCGTGCCAGGATTGGTAGGAACAACTGAAGTGGGTGAATTCTCGTCATCAGAGGAAGATTCATCTTGTCTTGCTCGTCTTCTTGCACGGGTTGGTCTGGTTGATCGTGGTGCTGGTGTTGGTGGCATTTCTGTGGACTCATTTGCGTCAAGGTTAAGGTTCAACTCCATTCTCCCTTCAAAATATAAAGACCATAATAAGCATTGTCACAATGACGAGGGAACAAATGATAAATAGAAAAGAATAACAAAATTAAAGTAAAAACACAGAGAATGAAAGACGGAAAATAATACAACTATAAAGAACCTTTTGCTGTCAATGAAAATGACCATCACCTATTACCACCTTTGGAACCAGGTAGCATACATAAAGAGTTTTCAGCAGCACTTTGCAGCACTTAATTCGTAACAAATAACAATTGGAAAGATGTTGCAAAATAAAATAGAAAACACGAGAAAGAAATCAAACACACACACACAAGAACACACAGATTTTACTCGGTTCACCCAAAATCAGGGTTACGTCCAAGAGTTGCAGGGATTTTCACTATGATGATCAAAAAACAGCAACGGATACAGAGAGTTCAGAATAAATAAATAGTTTCGTACTAAGGCAATATAACAAGTTGGATCCGCGGAATTGGGGCTTGGTGTACAGTACCTATCAGGCTCCACACTACACATCTAAAGATGCATATACTGAGACACCTAGAGGCACACCAACCTATTCCTCTAAAGTAAGTAAACGTATCACTGTATCAGCATTTTGGACAAAGAACTCCTAGTTTGTAGGTAGAAGTGATTAAAATTTTATAAAAATCTTAAATTCTTGCTACTCAGGGCTGTTTGGAAACTAGTTTATATTGTCTTGGTTTTGGCAGAGTAAATTTGCTAGATTGATTCAAATATGCACATGAAATAGGGGGCAGGAAAGAAGTCTACCTAAAATAAGATTAGCCTGATCCAGTGACAATTCCTCGTCTGGATTTCCATCTGCTGCTCTAAGACGTACAGCCATCTGCTTCAACTCTTTTACAATATCTTTCTCTGCCAATACAGATTCTGCCACACGATTCAAAAGCTTCCTCATTAACTTTATTGCCTCTTGTTCTGACGATCGGAACTGAAGCAAGACAAGTATTCTACATAGTGCCACAATGTATGATTTCTCGGCAGGTTTCTTCTTCACAGGGAAGCTTGCCACCTTGGAAACACCCAAACCACAAATTAGCAACTCAGAGAAATCAATAAACATACAACATTTACATTGAAGATCAGAGATATCATGGTACCCAAAAACCAACACTTCACCCATTGTTGATGTACCAGGTTTGGATATAGTATTTTATACGCAATCAAGATTCAAACACTAAAGATAAACTGAAAAAGATAGTAAACGAAGAGAACTTCGTTCAGGTTTTCCCTTCCACCTGCCTATCAGTTTTACTACAATGATTTTCAATTAGTACATAGAACCTGGGGGAACTAGTTTACAAGCAGGAACTTCATCCTAGTAGAATAGAAAACCTAAGAGTAACAGACCCGAATTCAGCCTATCAACAACCTTAATCAAACTTTATATGCATAACTAGAATAATGATTAACAGTTTCAGAACATAACAGCGAATAATTGCATAAATATAGATAGATTTTAACTTTTCCTAACTATTCAGGATCCTTTACTAATAATATACCACTTGAATTTCAAAGTTCTGAACAATTGATACCTCTGCACCTATACGTAAAGCAAGACCTTCCTCTCCATTCTCGAAGTCATTTGAAGGATGCACTGAACCTTCAATGATTTCTGCTGGTGATTCCTTGCCACCATTTTCATCCAATGTTTCAGTATCCTTTGCATATAAAGGAGCCTGCATCATCTGCAACATGAATCGAGATGCCTGAATAGCACGCTTACGCATATTAGACACCACTAGCGAAGCTCCCCCAGCATTCCCATTAATGCCCGGCCACATTGAACGCATGACTGTGATGAAGGACTTGGATAAACACTTCTGCTTTTAGAGAAGAAAAAAGCAATTAACACACTAGAAAGGCCAAAAACCATGTATAAATAACTTGCAAACATAGTTACATATATAACAACACGTCTTGGAATCTGCGTCACTTGCCTTGTGATTAACTGAGAGGGATGGATAATGCTCAAAGAACACAGAGAGGCCTTGTTTCAACCTAGTAAAATAAGAGAATTAATTGGCTTTCTATACAAGGAAACTAATAATTAGACCAAGGCACGGAGCAACCCACCTCTCCAGTTCTTTAGTTTGATCACTAAAATAAAGATTGACAAGCTTGGCTAAGAGTAAAGGATGTGAAGAAGCAGGTATGCTTGGATAGTTCTCACTTAAAAGAAGAATCTTTGCAAATCCCTCCCCAAGAACAGCTTGAACTGACTCATTCTCATCAGCATCTGTAGTGCTCCAATCAGATCTGTCAAGTCCAGCATATAACAAATCAAGTAATTCAATATCCAAATCCTCATTTGTACTGCACAAATTAACAGGACTGAACACCATCACATGGTCGCGAAGTTGTGACGAGAGATCCTTTCCCATGGATTTGTCAACTTCCTGAGGACCATGCCACATTCCAAGATCAAACAATGCCTTACAAGCCAAGACGCTAACTGGAGAGGGTCCCTTGACAAATGAAAGCCTCAACTGTTTTACTAGTTCCTCAGTTGGTTTCCTCTCTAACAAACCAAAAAGACCAAGACACCTGGTAGCAACCCTCTGAACATCCAAGTGAACGTGTCTTGTCTGCATTTCATGGTCCATGTCAATAGTAAATACTTCCAAAATAAATAGGCAGACAAGAGAAAGCAATAGTTATATAACTGAACAAGAATAACTAGATTATAGAATAAAGGGAAAATAAAACAAAAGAAATTGTTCAGAAAGAAAACTTTTGAACAGATACATACCCCTGGAAGCAATAAAGACTGCAGTATTTCAGCAGGTTCAATGGCCTTTCCTTGCATCCAACGGAATGAATTTATGTTTTCCAAGAGGAGGCCAGTCACTGCAAGGCAGTGCATCCACTGCAAGAAGTCTGCTGTTCTTTCCCTGCAAGGCCGAGCAAGCTCCTCTACAACCCCTACAGCAACTTCTTCAAATTCACCAGAAGCAGCATGAACCTTCCTTGCCAACCCCGACACTGCAGAAGCCCAATCTCTGTCTCCACCAAGATTGATGCCATCTCCTATGATAACCTGGTTGCCATTGTCATCCATTTCAATGTCAATAGGCCTGTGCAGTAACTCCTTCACAAATGCGCTAGCAACCTTCCAATTTGTGGCATCAGAAAAATCAAGCATTGCACCAAGCAGTAGTAGTTGTCGTGATGCAAAACGGTAATTTGGTCCTATAACAATCAGGTGGCATTAGAATATATACCTATATAAATAACAACAGATCACGTTGACTATCGCATTTCACCCACCAGCAACAAGATGAGCTCTAACCAATTCTACATAGTCAGAAATAGTCAAGGGAAGAACTCTCTCCAGAAGATCATTGCTGTCTGAAGCTTCTGCTGCATATACTGCTGCTTCAGTGCCCATTGTTGCAGCAGCATCAGAACCTTTTGCCTGTTTGATCATTTTTGAAGATTCAAATAGATGGCATGTGTTTGATTTGGCAGATATGCAACTTCAAGCCAAATTGTCACCTCAATTGGATAAACACAAAAGGTCAAAAAAAAACAACTCAGGTATATTAAAATATGGCATTTTGTTAAATAATTGTTTGCCTCCGATTACATCTTTTTTAAAACAAGCAAAGATAAATGCAAGGAATAGTGTCCTATTAACTCCAATGAAGGTAGGAACAGTAATCTTTTAAATTTTGCAAATGTTTGCTTAAACTATACCTCTATAAACTTTTGAAACATATTCATCTTCTATATATAAATTCAGTCCAAAGAATCCTTGCACAAGTTTGTAGGGGAATGCTTTTAAAAAGAAAATTTAGAAGAATAATTATCATCACCAGTTTAGATGCAAATAGTTAAGACATTAAGCAAGAACCCTTGAGAATAGGGTGGAATATGGCTCAAGAAAATAAAAGTATGCTAGATCACAACGTAGTGTTTCAGGAAGATGTTATCTCTATCCAAAATATAAATAGGTAGTTCAGTTTGATAGAAATTAAAACAAAGAATTCTTGTGTTTCAGTTTGATACATATAGACTTATACAGAATGTAAGAAAAGACAAGCTTTAACAGCTTACTTGTGCTTCTGTCTGCAAGTGCTCACATACAGTCCTCCAATAAAGGGCAACTTCTGCTTCCATTAGTTGGATGCTTGAGTTGCAGTGCCCTACCATATTTGGAAAATCAATAAACTTCAAGCCAGCAAGGTACTCCTTTGGTGTTTAGATGGGAACCAATGAGACAGGTTTAAACATAAGCCTAAATAGTAACATAGACTTGAGTGATTCAACATTATATGACAATGATATTAAGCCAGATGTAAACAACATAAGGCATTTTAGACTGTTATTACAAGATGTTGAAAGTTTTTTCATCAAAATGGATATCAATAGTATATTATTTAACATTTACACTTCCAACCTTGTGCCACTTTTCATTATGAAAAATCTGAACCAGAAAATCTTTTAAAATTTTCCAGACAATAGCAGCAACATTAAGAGAGAGGGAGAGAGGGAGAGAGAGAGAACAGAAGAAGAAATAAATGATTACTTCTGACTGATGAAATCTTTGAAATCCTAATAGTCAGTAACTCTATTCATAACTACTTAACGACATCCGGCTGTGAATTTGCTTCGTGATCAGAGTTCAAGTAGTACGGGATAGATTGAAAACAGGCGGACAACTTTTGAAGTCAAAAGAAGGAAGCAACTCCATCAACTGAGACTCTTATAGTAGAGGGCACGCTCACACGATCACTACAGAGAAGGAAAGAATGGATCTTTGGAAATGAACAAAGGGAAGGACGACCAGATGAGGCCATCTTGGACTAAACTCAACCTATCGATCTCCCCACGAGAATTTGCTTTTCTTTTTCTTCTATCCATATTTCAACTCTTCCTTGATGACTTCGGCCAAATGATCGACCACCTAATTCTGCTAGATAATAGGATGACAGCCGTGGCAAAACTGCTTCACGGTAGCAACTTTTGGAGCTACTTTATCGGCAATCTCTTTGTCTGTAGAGATTGACTCTGCTCCCCTTTCGAATCATGTTTTAGGGCAATTAGTCCTAGACTTCCACACCCATGCAGTGGGAGGATGCAGAAGAGATAGATGCTCAGATGCTTGATCCTTATTTCAGAACCATGATCATGAAGAAAAAAAAAACAAGGAAAACCTTGAAATATAAAAGTTAGCAAGTACCAACATATCAGCAGAACAACCAATGTTAGATCTGTTCAATCTAGAAGATCAAGTAAACATAATTCAGTAAAAACTAATACCAAAATTAATAATTTAAAACACAAGTCTTTGTTTTTTATTTGAAATGACATAAGATTAAACCTGTAAGATTGTCAGACCATGTTAAGTACATCAAATGGTATTAGTTAATTTGGCCCAATCTCAAATTAGCTCCCACAGTAAGGAAAATTAACTATAAGCCATACCTACCTTCAGTTCCATAGCTGGTTAAGTCTAAAAATTGCCTGATGCTTTGACCATCTTGCACTTTCACCAAACCAGCTTTTAAAAGAGCTACCATTACAGACTCCCCAACCAATTCATAGGTTTCAACATCAAGATATTTGAGAAGCGCTATTGGGTCGCCATTGCAATGCTTCACAAGCCACTCATCTTTCATTAATTTCAGACACTGCTTTGTCACAGCTGCCGAACGATCAGCAAGTCCTCTCTGGAGAATAATTGTCCGGAGCTTGATACTACCATAACAATAATGCAACAAAGACATGTAAGATCAATGATGAAACAAAGGGAAATATATTTAAAGTTACAAAGACTACGGATAAGTTAAAATCTTGCTCCTTGGCCATATTAAGAATCAGTACAAGACTGATTCCCTTCATTAGAAGAGTTATTGTTGGGAAATCCATTTAGATGCACAATTTGGCTTTTACATTCCAAATAAATCTAGTGTCCAATGCATAGTTGAATTTAAAACAATAGAAAGCTATGGAAGCACCCAAATCAGATCATCCCTTCCAAAGAGAAAACCCACTCTGACCAAGCATTATAGATAGAATCATAGAACAAGAACTTGGGAAAACTACGACACCATTTACCAAAGAGAACTACAATGCAATCATCTTCTTCCCTCAGCAACATTGTTGCACGGCCAAAATTCTAACTTAGTTTTCAAAACCAAAGAGAAGCAGAAATTATGTTCAAATCATTGATTTGCATAATTTCCGTACTTTGTACATAGCTCTCTTGAGAGGTGTATGATTTAGGAAAAAGAAAAAGAAACGGTGCATTACAGAAAACTCAAAATTGCCCCACAAATTGATTAAAATCTTAGTAGTAAAAAAGGGAAAGAGAGAAAAGCTAAACAGCAGATGTTAGAATAAGACAGTAATTCACCTGAGGCTCTGGAGGGGAAATTTACTAGCCAGAACACAATATGCTGCTTTGCGTACGGACTCACTCACATCCAGTGTGCAATTGACAATTGCCATTGAGGTTGCATTTGAAGGAGGCAAAGCAAGTATTATTGTCCTACGAACCTCCTGCATACATGCCACAATCAGGAATTCAAGCAACAGTTTTAAACCTATGCTCATAAAATTATACTCCGTAGAATAGTTGAAATATATTAAAGATGCCTATTCAATTTTTGGCATCCTACATTTTGTGAAATTGAAATGTAAAATTTTATCGATTTGTAGACTATAACATTATGATCTTTGCTACATACATTAAAGGACAAGTAAAAACCTTAAGAAAATAATTCAGGAGTTTATATTTTCCAGAAAATAGTAAAATGACTTGTTAGAACAATGAAACTATACCTCACTCGTCCAAGATTATAGAACAAACATACGTATCTTAAGATTATATAATTTATATCATATTCCAAGGGATATAAAAAATGCAGAAACTGATTGATCGAAAGCTCACAGCATTCTGTTCTAAAGGCAGTTCCTGAAGGAATAAGTCAAGGATGTCATCATTCTCCGAATCATTTGCAAAGCGTGAAAGAGCTCTAACTGCGAAAGTACGGATTACAGGGACCTTATCACCCACCCGCAACTTCATGCATTCTATCACATCATCCCACAGATCATTGCTCACTTCTGCGTCATCCGGCAATCGCATTATGATCTAGAAGAGTAAAGAATTCAACAAATTATACGAAGAATGAGAACCAAATGATCATTTATAAAAGTTGAAAAAATTAGTTAATTTACTAGCTGTTTAGAATGCATTGGTCATACAAAGAAATTAAAAGACAGACAAAACACTTTATATATTATAACCCACTCATTCAAGGTAAAAAATTATAGGAGAAACCCACGTCAACAATTGTGATTATGATAAAAATAGTACCTTTTTGGTTTTGAAGATAATTAGCAGAACGGGGGAAGTAAAAAAAAAAAAAAAAAATTTGACTTCTCATCTTTGGATTTTTTTTTTTAAGAAAACAGAAATACACTTCTTCTTTTATTTATTTATTTTTTTTATGGGTGAAAACAAATATACTTAACTCATCCAAGTCAGAGTGAATTTGGACCCAATATTATGTCATATACAAAAGAAAAGAGAAATCTAACACTTAAAAATATCTAATTCACACCATTTTCTTCACATGATAATATATATACACACACCAACACACTCAACTAGCTGAGAATCAATCGACCAATCAAAGCCTAACTTCGCAGTTATATGACAATACCAATTTCTGAACAGCATATAATAGAATACAGACGACAAAGCTCTCAAAAACACCGTTTGATTTCTTAGAACAAAATGGTATGAGAAAATGAGACAAAAACTTAAAGTTTGGATTCTTAGAAACTCCAATTTTAAAGTTCCGGTGCCAACTACCAAGACAAAAACAAAATTACAACAGCATTTACTATAAGACTTGAAACTTGATTTCCCTTGATTTTCCTTTACTTAATTTTTCTCGGCAACCAAACAGAGATCATCTACTAATAAATTAGTACCTCGGAGATTATCTGAACGGCCCGAAACCTGGCGGTTTTGTTGGCAGCGGTAGCCGCGACGATGAGGAACCGCAAGAACTCCTCCAAAAAAGCATCTCTGACGGATTCATTGTTCGCGTCGCGAGTGCCGGCGAAGATAGCTACAAAACGGACGATACGTTCGGCGGAGGCATTTCGGCGTTGGAAATTGAAAAGAGGAATTAGGGATTTGGAGAATGCGGAGAAGAATCGGTCAGACGAGGATGATCGGAGATTCAAGAGATCTTTGAGCTTCCGTACGTGAGTTGCATACGACACTCGAGTTTCATCTAAAACCCTAGCGATCTTTTGCATCAATCGCTTCTCTTCGTCTTCTGTTCCAATCGCCATTATCAGAGTTATCAAAATCTCTCTCTCTCTCTCTCTCTCTCTCTATATATATATATATATTAAAATTTAAAATCGCAACTCTTCTCCTTCTGCTCTCTCTCTCTCTCTCTAAAACGCTCTCTCTATCCTTTCAGATGAATCTGATCTGCAACCTCTGAAATGCTTTTGAATTCAAGCGGGATAACAATTCCGAACTAAAACAATGCTTTTGAATTCGTGACAAATGGGTCGAATCTTTGTGAATGGTTCAGATATCTCTAAACGGGTAAAAACATGTAAATTGGGGGTTAGACAATCCGCAGCAGCCTTTCCTGAATTTTGCTTTTTAAAATTAGCCACGTCAGCTTTTTTGAAGAGTTAGTAGGCAATTTTTGTTCTACAAATTTTGATTGTTCTCCAAATTTTTGCGTTGATGCAGCCTTTCTGAATTTTCGCTCTATACAAATATTATTATTATTATTATTATATATATATTTTAATCAACAAATATATTTATAACGGTTATATTTTTCATCTTATATAAAAACAACGCATCATCACTGCATCCATCTAAAATCAATACATTATATTATGAAATAAAATAACAAAAAAGAAAAGAACAATGCAATATCCATGATCTCGGATAAAAAACAATTACAAATAACTGAAAGAATACAATATAAAAGTTTAGATTAAGTAAATAAGTAGGCTATGACAACATTTGTTGCATAGATTCCAATATCCCCCTTTGTCACATACGAACCCATTCTTGCCCTTCTGGTGTTGGCATGGATTCAGCATCTATTAATATCATCTCCTTCTCTTTTTTTACTAATTTATTTTGAATCTCCAGTTGTTTAGTCTTTTCTTTCTCTACTTTTCTTGCCTCTCACATCATTTTCGCATTCGCAAGATTATATGAGTCCGTCTCAATACGGAATTTAAGATCATAAAAATTGTTTAAGAATGAACTCCGCACCGAATTCGAACTCGAACCTTTATTTCGGCGTTGTTTAGTCGCTTTTCTTCCGGGTGGTCGTTCAAATGGATGACATTCCTCAACATCGGGTGAATCATTTTCAGCAATGTTTTGTGAAGATTCAACCGAAGTTGAAGTTGGTGGCGTAACTGCATGACTACATGTAGTAGATGACACTCTTCTCTTCTGCTGTTGTTTTGGGTTGTTATTGTGAAACTTCTCGATTCTAGAACCGCGGGTGATCAAGTCCGAGCACAGAATACAAGGGATATCAAACAATTAATATTTAAACAAGCATTGGAATACAAGATGAATTAAAAATAAATAGATAAGTTGAAAAGAAAACTAAATAATAATTAAAAATCCCATACTAAAGTTCTTCAATCCTCTGATACCAGTAATTAATTAAAACCACAACTCGGGAATCCATATTGTGGACCCTTAATAATATCTTAACTAAAATAACTGAACTGAAATAAAACTAATAATTAAATCATGAAGAAGAGTCCTACGTAGAGTTGGAAGAGTGAATGACTGTCTCTGCTTGGCACAAACAATCTCTAAGACTGGAACTGACGAATACCTGAAAAATAATGGTGGGTCAGGCCCACAAACAAGTTTTAATCTACTACATCCCAAACAGAAACCCGATACACGTACACATCCTAATTAATTCAACAATAACTAAATAGTCCATACGTAGATATATACACACTAAAGGAACCTCACTAGACTATAGAGTTGTCTTAACCTGAATAGTAGGTAACATACAAAACGCACATATAGTGGGCATGAGTACCTGGACCTACCAGGGTACACAACTACACTATATCTAGTTGTACATCCCTGGCAATATACGCACCCTAACCAATGATTCTGACACTCAAGCTCATATCATGGCGTATAATTATATATATATAATCCGTCATATCCAACCATCAAAGTAAATTATCCAAATATTATTTTAATAATATGTCATCCAACTATTCCGTTGACCTGACACGAATAAGTAGGACTTAACACTATGGTTAATCCGTTCCCTTATCCAAAAATAGGTAGGACTTAGGCCATGCTTGGATTGCATTTCATAGAACAGTTCTCAAGAACAATTCGTGAGAACAATTTTCAAAGAACGGTTTTTAGTTTTTTCAGATTTCAAGCCTGCTTGGTTAAGAGAATTTACAAAACAATTTCCGAAAAAAAAAAACTCATAAAACTACTTGGTTGTATGAGTTTTTGAAAATAGTTTTCTGAACTAAGAAAATAAATAAAAATATTATTGTACCTCATTTTTTTATTTCTTTAATTTATGATATTAACTATTCATGTAAATAAGTGTTGGAGCTAAATTCATTTTAGCTGGTATTCTTAACTTAATAACAATTACACAAATGCATATATCAAGTTTAATTACAATCCTCTTTCTACATAACTCCAAAATGGAGGTTCTGTTTGGTGCTTGTATTTTGTTTCCCCTTCATGGGACTCCATGTATATTCTTCCTAAATTTAAATACAATAAAAGAGTTACATGAAATATTATAAATTAAACATAATAAAAGGTACACCAAAACAAAGTTTTCATAACATAAAACATAATAAATTGTTCCCCACACGAATATAACACAAAGTCACATGCATAGGAAAAATAAAAAATAAAATATGGCATAAGGAAATTGTTCAATAACATATAAAACCAAATATGTGTTTCAAGTCATATGCAACCAAAAACTAAACCCTGCATTCAGTAACCACCCAAGTCAGTCCAAGCTCTTCAACCAAGCAAACTTCCTGGAAATACTCATCTTAATGAACAATTCTCTGTAGTGCAATTCCTTGAACTTTTCAGTTGCCTTCAAATATGTGTCATCATCTATCTCATCAAGACCCTCAAGGCATTCAATACAATTACTTAGAGAGTATCCGTCTAGGCTAGTTGCCTTTTGAGTATGTTTCATTTTCTTATACGTCTCCGCCTTAGCTAATGAAGCTTCAGTCCTTGCTTTGGAAGCTTCAATCCTTGCTTTGGAAGCTTCAACAATACAAGCAAGAGTATCACTAATGGAATCTTTTTTACTCACCTTTTTTGCACGACAATTAGAGGATGTGGATTTATGACGATGAGGGTTATTGTCTTCAACTAGAATATTATCTGAATCATCTTGACCTTCAACAGTTGAACTAACATGGACACCTATATTCATAAATTGATCCTCCTGCTCTCGTTCTTTGTCTGTATTAGGTGGATCTTGAGTGGATGCATAGTGAAGTTGCCCAGTAGTAGTCGACGTATTACAAAGAACTCCCAAAAGTTTGTAATTTTCACAACCTTTTTTGCGAAAACATTTAGCATTGGGATGAGCCTGAAAATATATATATATATATATATATATATATATATATATATATATAAAATTGTTAGGAATAACCATGTTTAAAAATTAAACTAACTATTGTAAAATAATTAATTAAATATATATTTTACCCGCAAATATGTTTGCCAAGTTTCTTCATCAACAGTCACAGTGTTTGTTTCTGCATCCCAACCAAACCCAGTTGTCTCGTTTAGAAGAGTTGAAAACTTACGATGCTTTGTACGTAATCGATTAAATTTTGCCTTTAGTTGTTTCACATTATAAGCGTGATTAGTCTTGTTTTTGAACTCCTCCGCAATCTTTTTCCAACACTTGGAAGTAAATATCCCAGATGGCATGTTCCCCTTGTTAACCTCTTCAACCATTATATCAACAAAACATTTCTCTAATTGTGTAAACCACAGAGCTGACTCCTCAACATCAGCAATTTGAGATGCCATCCTTTATTTGTGCATTAAGCAAAGAATTACAAGCAATAAAATGAATTACAAGCCAAGAATTAGGTAGTGATATCAACTTAGAGAAATAAATAGACCAGGTTAACAGTGATATCAACATATGTTTCCGGCAAGGATTGAACACTAAATCAATTTGAAACAAATTTCTCCATAGTCCTCTAGTCACTTGTTCTTCTTCTTTTCTTTTTTCTTTTTTGGTCTCCCCTTTTATTTTTGGTAATTCTTTTAACGAAATGCGGATTTATAAGGTATGGAACCCATAGAAAATAAATACAAGAAAAGGTTTTGGAATTTTCTGCAAGGCTGGCCATCCTAGTCAAGCCAGCCACAGTGTACAACATTATCCATAATATGGTAGAAAAACCAATATATATTCCTTTTCTTAAGCTTCTTGTTCTGTTATTATTTGAAAATTTAATTGAAGATCAATAATAGAAAATTTTGACATTGTGATTGACGACAACTCCAACATAATCACAATAATTGATTAAATTGTTGAGATAATAAATAATCAATTAGGAACATCTTCACAATAATTGATCTAATTGAAGATCAATGATACAATATTTTGACATTGTGATTGCCGACACCCCCAACATACATCATCACAATAATTGATCTAATTGTTGATCATGTGATTCATTGCAGGACAAATAATATTAACCTGAAATGTATTGCCATTTATACTACAGTCCAGCTAATCCTTTTCCATTTTCATTTGTTGAGCCTATAAAAAGTGGGCATGCCCTGTCTATCTTGTACTTTTGTATTTTTCCTGTAATTGAAACTAACCCATTCGAAAAAGAAAAAAAAAATAAAAAAAAATAAAATACATGCACTACAATATTCATATAAAACCATAGAATACATTCTTAAATTGAAAAGTACAGAACAGAATAAAACTAGTTTGTTATATCCAAACAGAAAATTATATAAACTGACTTCCTATTATAATCCACACAGAGTGGCTTGGTTCAAGCACTCTTCCTGAAATTCAAAAACATATAAAATAACTTTTACTGCTTCAATAATTATTTTCATTTGATTAGGTCACTATATGGTGCGTTTAGATTAGTCTTGGTGGTCAAAATTTGTTTTATGGAATCTTTGTCATAGTAGAAGTAGTAGCACTACAACAAGTTATGTATATGTTTTTTTGATTTCTCTCCTTTAGTTGAATTAAAGTTGATGAGAGAACGTGATGCTCTGCTAATTTTTGTTTTCGACTTTAAGGGTTGAGTG